AGTCTTTGCATCATTACTGGGGAGCTGATGGTCCCTGTGGGGAAAGTCAGAATACACTTACTCTAAACACTCCAAGTGAGGCTACACTTGGGTCCCGAACACCTGAGTGTAGTTCCATTGGCTGGAATAAAGCCTTTCAGTTGACTATAGACTGTCTGAGTGGTCTTCTCTGTGAGTATCTCATAGCAGCAGGAGAGTGAGGGGTTAATCGCATTACTTCTGAGGCAGAGAGTAGAGAGCAGACAGGAAGTGGGGCCATAGAACTTTAAACCTCACCCTCAGTGACCTACTTCCTCCAGTGAGGCTCTACCTCCTAAATTTGACAAGCTTTCCCAAACAGCACTATTAGTTGGAGACCAAATGTCCAAACACACTTGCCTACTGAGGAAATGGAAATGGGGGCATGGAGTGTGGGCAGGCTGTCCGCTGACAGGTCATCTTCAGTCCACAAGGATCTAGCATCCCTCCTCACAGCAGGCCTGCTGAGCACAGTTAGAGGGTAGCCCAAGGTTGTGAACCCTCCCAGGGGGAGGCACTGCTCATATTCTGCCCCACAAGTAAGGGGCCTAGGCTCTGGAGGGTTCTGCAGGAGTCAGCGTCAGGTATCCATGTTACCATGTTGATTTTCACAGTACTGGCTGGTTTGATGGCTCCAATAACACACACACACACACACACACACACACACACACACACACACACACACACACATCTTTTTGGAAAAGGGACAAAAGTTTTGCAGCATTTAGCTGTTAACACTTTTTTTTTAATTAGGCCCCAGGAAGAGTCTGCCCCCTGCTGGCAGATGTTCTCTTTTTTTTTTTTTTTTTTTTGGTTTTTCGAGACAGGGTTTCTCTGTGTAGCTTTGCGCCTTTCCTGGAACTCACTTGGTAGTCCAGGCTGGCCTCGAACTCACAGAGATCCGCCTGGCTCTGCCTCCCGAGTGCTGGGATTAAAGGCGTGCGCCACCGCCCGGCGGCAGATGTTCTCTTTAGGAATGTGGATCACTTCTGCAGGATATGGTGAGGCGCATCTGTCTTCCCAGTATTTGGAAAGCTGGGGCAGGAGGAACTCAAGTTTGAAGTTAGCCTGCACTAACAGTCTCAGAATCAAATCAAAACAAAAACAAGAACAATAACAAAATAATATGGATTATGTAATGCTTCTGTTCCCAATTCGGAGGGCCAAGTACCAATTCCAGGCAACAGAAAAAGTTCAACTACCCATAAATATGTGACATCTACCCTCAGCCTGCCTGAACCCAACTTCACGACCCCTATGACCTCTCTTTCCTTTCTAGCTTGTCCAGAGATGAATGCACCATCAGGTCCATTTTAAAGACATTTCTTTCTCAGGTCCCAGGTCTCGATGTTGTCTTTGCTGCCCAGGGCTGTTTTCTTGTGTCTAGTAGGTCCTTGCTGGCCTGCTCTCTTCTGAGCATCGTTTCTAACTGCCTTTCCGTCTTATCAGATGAATCTCCCTCTTGGGTCTCAGTAGGAGAGAGATGTCACACTTGACTCAATGGGGTGGCTACGGAGTGTAGTAAATGACTATTTATGAAGGCGCAGCTTTAAGGGATGGGGCGGTGCCCAGGACTGGGACAGCAAAAGCACATTCCTACTTCCAGGCCTGCAGGGTCCATGAAGGAAGCAGTTACAGGACATTTCTCGGTCTGTCTGTCTGTCTGTCTGTCCATCCGTCCGTCCATCCGTCTACCCACCCATCCATCCATCCATCCATCCATCCATCCATCCATCCATCCATCCATCTATCTATCTATCTATCTATCTATCTATCTATCTATCTATCTATCTATGTCTGTGTGTATGGACAGGGCCTCTGACAGAAGCTGTGGCCTCAAGGAGAGGACATGAACAAGACGGACCACAATGGGGAGCTGGGGAAGAAGTACCCCAAATTTGCTTCCCTCCCCTTCTCTCCTTTCCTCTGTGGGAGCTGGGGGTTGGGGATGTACAGCACCTAGAGGTCAGTTTCCCAGACACAAAACAGCGTGGGGGCTGTGGGGAGTGGATTCAGAGGGGCAAAGGAAGCCTGAGGATGTGCACAGGTTTCATTACTCGCCGATCACTCCTCTAACAGCACAGCAGAGGCTTTCTAGTCCGTGTTGGATTAATTTTAGTATTCAAGGAATCCCACAGCAGCCCCACCCACTTCAGCCTTCTCCCTACCCATCCCAAAGAGCACAGGCCCTCCACCCGCCTGAGTGGATACCCTGATCCACTTGTCTGGGTGGATACCCTGATCCGCTTTACGTACTGCACATGTTAAATACGCTTTAGCATCGTGGGTACTGATTTACATCACCCTGACATCCTAGAATAAAGGTACTTCCCCTTCTTTCTCTCTTTTCTTTCTTTTTCGGCACTCCACCCACCTGAGTGGATACCCTGATCCGCTTGTCTGGGTGGATACCCTGATCTGCTTTACGTACTGCACATGTTAAATACGCTTTAGCATCGTGGGTACTGATTTACATCACCCTGACATCCTAGAATAAAGGTACTTCCCCTTCTTTCTCTCTTTTCTTTCTTTTTCGGCACTTCTGGGAATACTCATCATCTCAGATCTCTCCTGGGCAAGCTGTCCGTCAGTAATGGGAGTGACGATGGTCTGGCTAGTACCGAGATGACAAGTGGACCCCATCATTGCAGAGAGCCTGGGATACGGGGCTGAAGTGAGGACCCAGGCCCCCTACGAAAACAGGAGCAACGAAGTCGAGTTCTGAAGTCCCATCCCTGTCTCTTTATGAAGTGAGAAAATGAAGGTCTGGCTCTTTTACGTGGGTACTGGGAATTGAACTCGGGTCCTTGTGCTTAGGGAGTAAGCACTTTTCTACCTGAACCTTCTCGCCAGCTCCAAAGAAGACTGTTGTATTCACCTCTGAGTCTCTGCACTGAGAACTGTTCTCGGGACACGGAAGATATGTGACTATGGGTCCTTCCTGACCTGAGCTGATAGTAAACCTGGAGATGAACTATCTATCCTCCACTGTGGAGCTGGAGGCTGGGTCTGGGGCCAGGCGTGCTTTCTCACCCCGTTTTTTAACTCAGCCTGTCACCGAAGGCTCAGCAGACGTCAGTAATCACTCCACACCCCACCCACCCCGCCCCGGGGAGGCTTCAGCCTTGGGGTGACAGAGCTGGCATCCTCTTCCCCATGCCTGGGGTTACACTGCCCTCTGGTGGACACCGATGGTACAAACGGGAGTCGTGACTTGCGGTGGGTGACCTTTTTCTGACATTGAGGAAGAAGTGCTTCTGTAGGGTTTGGGCAGTGCCGCTGGGCCTCCAACCCCCGATTTAACTTGCAGCTCGCCGGCCTGAACAAACACACGGCCTTCTTACCAATGTATGCGACTCCTCAGCCATCAGATAATGCCCGACTCAAGTTTCTGTTCACGGCCTCACTTCCTGTTTTGCCAAGACCCAGGCAGGAAGAGGGAGAGTTTATCTGATACCTTTCTCCTCGGCTGCTGGTTTTCTCTTATCCCCAGACACCTAGATTTTGCTCCTGCTGCAGCTTTTCTCAAGGGTGGGGTTGCAGGAGATGTGGGAAACCAAAGACCAGCTGCTCTCCCTGTCCAGGGTCTGCAGCTGTGCACGCGGCCCGCCGCAGCTCCTGCTTCCCTGCCTGGAGCCAAACTCCAGGTCACTGAACTGAGGACGCTGGGCCCCATGAGAGTGAAGGTCATGGACCTGCAGGCTTACGTCAGTTCCTCTCTCTGTCCCCGATCAGATATATAGCAGGAACCCTATAGGAATCACAGAAGGTTGAGGACAAGATCTTCTGCGCCCGGCAAACTGCGCTGAGTGCCCAAGCCCCAGAGGTTTAGAGTTCTAAGGCCTTTCGAAGCCAGAGACTTACAGCTCTCAGGTTGGAGGCTAACTTGACCGTCAGTGGCCAGCACTCGGCAGTGTTTTGGAATCCTCCGCTTCTGGCAGGAGTGGCAGCAAATGGCACCTTCTGTGGTTACAGTTCTTGTACAGGTCTCAGGTTCCGGGGCCCTTACTCATGCAGCAACCAATGTCACGCGTGTTGTGTTTAGGGTGTTGGAATCTTAGCGCTCCACAGCTCTCTGGAACTTTCTCTCCTGCTTTCTTTCGCGATCTATAGCCGTTATCTCCACTGTGGCCTGCTTCACCGATGTATCCTTCCTTCTTCCTGTTACTAGATGAGTCCACTCGGCTAGGGAGCCGGCTCAGTCTGTGGAGAGCTCAAAAGCCTGAGTTTGATCCTCAGAATCTGTCTCCAAAAGCTTGGAGAAATGGGGCTGTGATCCCAGCCCTAGGGAGGCAGAGATGAACGGATCCTTCGGGGTTGCTGGCCAGATAATCTAGCTGATAGGTAAACTATTCAGTGAGAGACCCTCTATCAAAAAAAAAAAATAACGGGGAAAGCTGGGCAGTGGTGGTACACATCTTTAATCCCAGCACTTAGGAGGCAGAGGCAGGAAGATCTCTGTGAATTCGAGGCCAGCCTAGTCTACAGAGTGAGTTCCAGGACAGCCAGGACTACACAGAGAAACCTTGTCTGGAAAAAACAAAAACAAAAGGAAATAAGGTTGAGAGTGATTGAAGAAAACACTTGCCATCGACCACCGTCTCCACATGTATGTACAGATGCATGAATGTGCGTTCACACACACATGCACACACACACACACACACACACACACACACACACACACACACACACACGAAAAGATCACTTGAGAGAAGCCTTTTTATTGGGTCTACCACTGTAATCCCAAGAGGCAGCACAGAAGAATGTTTCCCACTTATCTGTTCACAAAGGGAGCCGAATACATGCTCACACAGCCAGACATGCACCAACCACAGCCGACTCTCGTGCAATGAAGGACTATGCTTGTGTTGTATACGCGTCTTGAGATCCCCCAACAAGACCACCACAGAGCCAATATCCGATGCAAACCACACAGGAGTTTATTGATAACAAGCAAGCCCGGGCTTGGTCCGAAGCCAACATCCGACACAGCGGGTGCAGGAGGATGGCCCTGAACTCTCAGGGTGAGGGGTTTTCAAAGGGAAAAACTTCAGACAGGGTGGTATAAGCCTTGGTATCATATGATTGGGTGAGGGTATGTAACCTTTGAATTTACTGGTTGGGGGTTACAGTTATCATTTTAGGGGCAGGCCTGGATAAGTCCCAGGCTTTGTCCTTGAACTGCCATGGGGGCTGGCTGGCCTTGCACGTTCACATTGACCCATGCATGTAGCTCTAAGTTGGTGAGGGGTCCCAGACAGTAAACAAATGGCTGAACCTTGAACAGTCAAAGTATGTGCAGAAAGGGAGCTACTGCAAGGACTAAGTCATATCCCTCCCAGAAACTGCTTGCTTGAGTCTCAGGAAACTGAAATTGAGGCCTGACCTCTGAGAAAGGACTGAGCAGTCTCTTATGGCGTCTGCTTGGTCCTTTCACTTGCACCAGTTACAGGCTCTCTGCTGGGCCTCCAGGAAAGCGTTCCTCTTCTGGTCTGGGTGGGAAAGGCAAGATCATCCAGAGTTTACCAGAGCGTTTGATGACGGTGAGTTAGTTCAGGGCAAGCTGCTGGAAGCAGTCATGGGCGGGGCAGCGCCTCTAACAGCCAGACAGCTTCAGCAGCAAGCAGCTGTGGTTGTGGGTAGCTGTGCAACTTCCTCGAGCCCCTGGAGTGTCGGAGTGGCTGCTGCCACCCTGGGGGCAGTCCGCCTGACTGTGGATGACAGTCCTGCCCAGCAGTCAGGGCTCCTGGGAGAGAGCTAACACAGTCGGTGGAGAGTCAAACCACCTGATCCCAGCACTCAGGACACAGTCTGCTCTACACTGAGAGGTCCAGGCTAGCCTGGGCTACCTAGTGAGACCCTGTCTCAATAAAATAAAACAAGAATCAGGCTACTCTGGCCCCCAGAAGGGATGCTTACAATAAAGACTTACCATTAATGTGAAAAGTACTTCAGCTGTAATGAACAGTACCTTAGTAATGCTCCGCTTCCACTCCAGGGAGAGCTGGGGCCTTCTAATCTGTCTCTTGCCTGGGACCTTGTTGTGGACCCTGCTAGGAATTCTAACATTTTATTACATGTTAACATTTATTAAAACCCAACCCCGTGAAACTGACAATATTCAACCGTGTTTGACCTCACAGGTGGCCGGCCATTCAGTCTTTTTTTATAACACCGGCCACTAGACAGCTCCTCAGCGAGGGGCGTGGCCTGGAGAGCACCTCTCCCATCTATGCAAATTTGGGCCGGCACAGTTTCAAGAGTTCCAGTCTGTCGTTTCTTTTTACAATCAATAAAAATATTAAATATAAACCACCCTGTGGAGATGGCCCAGTGGGTACTGGGTTCAGATCCACAGCCCACTAAGGGCCATGTGCCCTGCTTAGGTGGGGCAGAGGTAGGTAGATCCCCCGGGACTCCGGGCCACCCGGCTCTAACAGTGGGTGAGCTCCAGGGTCAGTGAGGGGCCCTGTTTCAAAAAATAAGGTGGAGAACAATGGAGGATGACACATGACCTCTGGCCGCTGCATGCTCGTGCATGGGCTAGTGTGCCTCACACACACGTGCACACACACATGCATGCAGCACACGCACAAATGAGTATTTAAATTAATTAAAACATTCGTATTTTTTCCCCACTTAACCATAGGAGAAAGTAGGTCTCAACATAAATTTAGAGACTAAGCTTGATTTGAGGGAAAAAAATCCCCAAACCCAACAACTTTCTATGTAAGATTTACTAGGGAAAAGGGTTAGAAAGATAAATTTCAATCTATACCATGGAAAGAATGATGGATTTGTGAGGGTGACTCCGTTTTCTGGGTGACCTTGAATGAGCCTTTGCTCAAAGTCAGTTTTCTATTTTGAAAAACGCAACTGGCTGTTGAAGGATCCAGCAGGGAGCCTGGCCCAGAAAAAGGCACTGTGAATGGTGGGTGAGCCCTGCCTAATCAGGGCCCATTCTAAACCCGCATCTGCAAGCTTTGCGAAGGATGCGTCGCTCACGGCCACTAGAGGTTACAGGAGTAGCAGTGACGATGGCTTGGAAAAGACCCACAAGTTGAAACAAAATCCCGAGGTTCTGCAGCCCTTAGGCCTGAGACCCCCCCATCTTCAAGCCAGGCCAGGGCGCGGGGTGCAGGGAGAGAGGCGCCAGGACGAGCGCCCCAGCCCGCAGGAAGGGGCGGGTTGTCCTGGCAACCCTGGACCGAGCCTTGCAGGCGGTGGCATGCGCCCGTGCTTTCGCTTCGCATCCTGGCATTCGGCAGTTCGGCTGCCGGTTGGAGCGTTGATCGGGGCCATATCCTCCATGGAGTCCTCCAAGGTTAGATCAAGGGCTCCCCCAGGGCAGTGGGTGTAGGACTCAGAGGTGGAAAGGAGACTCTGGGGCTGGGCGGGACGAGGACTCTCTGCAGCCCTGAGTCGGGAGGGAGGGCGGGCGGCCGGGGTGGTGGGGGTAGGGAGAGTTGGCATCCAAACCAGGAACACCACTAGGAGGACCACCGAGGTTTAGAGCCCCCTGCTCTGCCTCTTGACTTTCAAAGGCTTAAGGGGTATGTTGGTTTTTGAAAGACAGCCTTTCTAACAAGACGCTTTGTTTGTCTCGGTTGCTTTTCATGTTTAAAATCACCACGCGCGCAGGGGAGCCCATGAGCGCTGGAAACGGCAAACCTGGCTGCCAGCTTCCTTCCACTTCAAGAGCGGCCTGTGCTAGAGAGCTGGAGAAGGTTCCAGAGAAAAGTGACTTGGGCATGACCAAGGTGGAAAGGAGATACAGTTGAGTTCTGGATGGGCTTATAACCTCATGGCTCGTGGCTTTATAGTCTCTGTCTCTCTCTCTGTCTCTCTGTCTCTCTGTCTCTCTGTCTGTCTCTCTGTCTCTCTGTCTCTCTCTCTCTCTCTCTCTCTCTCCCTCTCTCTCTCTCTCTCAAAATAAGATCGAGCACCACTGCTACCCCCTTATGTAGCCCAGGCTAGCCTGGAATTCTCCATCCTCCTGTCTCAACTCCCCAAGTGCTGGGATCGTCATCAGCCTCTGTCGTTCCAGGCTTGGTTCATAGCTTTAGAGTTTCTGTTCATGCCCCTGTTACTTTGGACCTCTTGGTGGCGTATCATGTAGTGACATCACACGTCAGATCAAAGCATCTCCCCTCTTGGTCAAGAAACGATGATCCCCCAATGACCTCTTACAATTGTTTTTTAAAGACGGTCTTTATTTTATACGTGTGTTTGCACGGATGTCTACTGCTTACGCGCCCGGTGCCAGCAGACATTAGAGGGGGGCGCTGGGTCCCCTGGGACTGCAGGTATGGATGGTTGGGAACCACCACGTGGGTACTGAGGGTAGAAATCCAGTCCTCTGCAAGAGCAACAGGTGTTTTAACTGCTGAGTCCTCTCTCCACCTCCGTGATCTCCCAACAGTGTGACTTAAGGGAACTAAGCCTTTAAAACACGGGCTTCTGGAGGACATTCCAGATCCCAGCTACGGGAGCTAGTTAGGGGACATACACAATCAACTCCCGTCTATATTCAAGATCTGATCAGGCAGAGCCACAGCTGGCGTGCTCACACCTGCCATGCCCACACTCAGGAGGTGGAGGAAGGAGGATTAATTCAAGGTCATCCTCAGTGACATAGCAACTTCGAGGCCAGCCTCGGCTACCTGAGACCCTGTCTCAACAACAAAGACAAAGCAGAGATTTGAATGTGTTGTTGACTGGAACTCCAAACAGCTGGGAAGTATATTGCAACCGAGTAAAGGGAGTCAGAGGTTTGAGCTGCCCGGGCTTTGGTTAATAAATACCGAGGCTGGTCTTCGGCCTGATTCTGCTTGCCTCTAGAGCCTGTCCACATCCATTTTTTATCTTGCTCAGATATTAGTAGATATATGGTACTGCTTATTGGCTGGGGCACTTAAGGTGGAAATTGTGAGCACTCTGAGGCAGGTTTAAATTAAATAATGGCTCTTACTCCGTAATTGGCTCTTAAGGTGGAAGAGGAAGGATGAAAACAAGGTTCTCTTGAGGGCGGAGAGGCTAGAGGACAGCCACAGTTTCCCAAAAACCCGTTCAGGGTGAATCCAGGCTCAAGCCAGAGTGCTGCAAAAGGAGCTGGAGAAGTCTCGTCTTGGCCCAGCTGAGCCTTGTCCCCAGTCTCCTAGGTCCCAGGTCTTCATATCCGATTCTCCTTCATAACTTAGAGAGAGGTGGGAGGGATCCCTAGCCTCAACTATAAACTGGGCTGAAGGAGCTGGAGGATTTCGAACCATCAACCGCCCAACATGGCTAGGACAGCAAGGAGAAAAGAGGGCTGGGATCCCACCTTTCCTCCCTGCACGTCGTTTCCTCCTTCCTTCCCAGTCTCAGGTAGTTCATATTAGCAGAGAGTGCCCCTGAACTCCTGCCCCACCTCCTGAGTGCTGGGATCACAGGCATGCCCCACCTCCTGAGTGCTGGGATCACAGGCGTGCTCCGCCATTGTCTGGTCCTGTGCAGTGCTGGGATCACAGGCGTGCTCCGCCATTGTCTGGTCCTGTGCAGTGCTGGGACCAGAGACGTGCTCCACCTCCTGAGTGTTGGGACCAGAGGCGTACTCCGCCATTGTCTGGTCCTGTGCAGTGTTGAACCCAGGGCTTCATGTACGTCAGGCAAGTGCTCTGCTAACAGAGCTACCTGGGAACTTAACTTTAAGCTTCCAGAACTTTGTTTTTCCAATTTGGTTTGGAATAAGGAGGAAGCCACTTTGAGGGTGAGCTAGAGAGGACCCGTGCTTTTTAACTGGACGTTCTGCTCTCAGTACGTCCTTTCAGAAGACACGTCTAAGGTTCAGCTTAACAGGGAGTCCAGGGCTGGGCGGTGGCGCACGCCTTTAATCCCAGCACTAGGGAGGCAGAGGCTGGTGGATCTCTGTGAGATCGAGGCCAGCCTGGTCTACAGAGCAAGATCCAGGACAGGCACCAAAGCTACACAGAGAAACCCTGTCTCAAACAAACAAACAAACAAACAAACAAACAGAAAACCAGGGAGTCCAGGTCTTGTGGAATGGAGGGGCCAAGCTAGCCACTTGTACAGTGTGTGGGTGTGTGCCTTTTTCCAGCAGGGAGGGCCGTGACCTCCCGTACTACTGCAGATCTTTAGCTTGCTTGTTGAGCAGAAAAAGCAGGAAGTAGGAAACTGTTTTTTTTTTTTTAAATTAAAAACACTCCATATTAAGCCAACATAGTTTGCTGAATTATTCTTCCCCTGCCAGACAGAGGGATTTGAGTTAGCAGAGAAGACAAGTGTGAGGAGCCAACTTCATTTGTGTGAGGTGTTGTTCCTGCCCAAAGATGTGGAAATCTCCATGAGTTTCACAGATGGCACCAAAGACATAGACTTTCTTCCAAATTCCCTTTCCCCCTGAATTCCTTTCTGGTTTCCAAAACCTTCCTTTGGTCTTTAAAAAGAAGAATTTCCATTTAAAAAAATTAATGTGGCCGGGCGGTGGTAGCTCACGCCTTTAATCCCAGCACGCAGGAAGCAGAGGCAAGCGGATCTCTGAGTTCGAGGCCAGCCTGGTGTACAGAGTGAGGTCCAGGATAGCCAGGGCTACACAGAGACCTTGTCTTAAGAAACCAAACCAACCAAACCAAACCAAGCCAAAAATGTGTATGTAGTCACAAAAATGAGTGTAGTCACACATGGGTGCCAGAAGAGGGAGCTAGAGTTACAGATGGTTGGGAGCCTCCTGAAGAGGGCGCTGGAAACTGAACTCAGGTCCTCCACAGGAGCGGCAAGGGCTCTTAACCCCGGGCCTATTTCTCCAGCCCCCACTTTGCTTTTTTAGATAGTGTCATCTTTCTTGTCCTACAGTGTTTTAGAGTCATGGCTTACTTGGCATTCATTACGGCAGGTTTCCTGAGGAATGGTGAACTTCTGGAGGAGCGTATGAATCCCAAGTTTATTATTCCTCACCACAGTCTTTGAGCTAGGCAGCCAAAGGTGGCGCGAGCTGGGAGCTGGGCGTGGGAGGTCTGCCAACATTAGTAACGGAAGGCACTCTGCCTGTGCCTGGGCAGGGGAGGCATCTTGAGGCTGTGTTCAATGCTCCAGCCCACTTTTGACACAGGGATACTCCTAGGGAGATCCTGTAGTCAGCTTAAAATGGGGACCATGACATTTAGCAGAGAGATGGCTCTGACCACCCTTGCATCAGACAAGCTTTCCCATCCCAGAAGCTTTGGGTCACTGTTTTATTAGAGTGTTGCTACTGTAAAACTTACTAAGAAAGTTAGGAAGTACCTTAACTCATAGGTGTAACTTACTGTTCACTGGTGTGGGGGACGTAGGACTTTTAAAATCTCCCTGAATCCTGCTGGTCATGGTGCCACACCTTTAATCCTAGCACTTGGGAGGCAGAGGCAGGAGGATCTCAGTGAGTTAGAGGCCAGCCTGGTTTACAAAGGGATTTTTAGGATAACCAGGGCTCTTTTACACAGAGAAACCCTGTCTCCAACCACTCTCCCACCAAAAAAAAATCCTCCCCAAATTCCAACACAGACAAAATACTTGTGAAGTGACAAGACCTTCTGATGTTATTCATAGGGGTCAATTACTTCTGTGTGAGTGAGTGAGTGAGTGTATGTGTGTATGTGTGTGTTGTGTGTGTGTATGTGTGTGTTGTGTGTGTATGTGTTGTGTGTGTATGTGTGTGTGTGTTGTGTGTGTATGTGTGTGTTGTATGTGTGTGTGTATGTGTGTGTGTTGTGTGTGTATGTGTGGTATGTGTGTATGTGTGTATGTGTGTGTGTTGTGTATGTGTGTATGTGTGTGTATGTGTATGTGTGTGTGTATATGTGTGTGTTATGTGTGTATGTGTGTGTGTTGTGTGTGTGTGGTGTGTGTGTGTGTGTGGTGGAGGTCAGAGGACAACTGTTAGACCTTGCTGAGGCAGGGTCTCCTTTCTTTGTACCCCCGACCACCTGGCCTGTGAGTATATGGACAATTCTCCTGTCTCTGTCTTCCATCTTACTGAAGGAGTTCTAGAATTAAAAATGTATGCATGCCACCACATCTGGCTTAAACTATATAACTGTATAATTATTATTATTGTGTGTATATATTTGTGTGTGTGTAGGTGTGTGTTTCACAATGAGTGTAAGGAAGTCAGATGACAACTCTCTGGTGTCAGTTCTCTCCTTCCTAGTTGACGAGGGTTCCGGGTGTGAAACTCAAGTCACTGGGCTTACAGGACAAGTGCCCGTCCCCTGATGAGCCACCTTGCGTTTCTGAGTTAGAGCTAGCATCACCAGATCTTCAGGTAGTGAGAGGTGTACAGCCATCATCCATGTCCTTCCTGTGTGTGCACCGAAGCTTGAAAAACACCTCCATAGCTTGGAAGAACATTCTGGAGACAAGGGAGAAGAAGCATCCATGTTTCACTGCACTGAGGTCACTATTAGGTAGAAAATGTGGACATCAATGGCTGAGTTGGAAAACGATTGAGAAGCCAGATTTTTGAATAAGGTGTAGGAATACCATAACCAATTATTCTTTGTATGTGCACATGTGACAGTATGATTAAAACCTATATCCAAGTCTAAAAGAATACCTCAATAGGGATAAAGTAAAAATTCCAGGTCAGTGGTCCAGGGCATTTGCTGCTCTTGCAGAGGAGCTGAGTTCAACTCCCAGCACCCACATGGTGGTTCAGAACCACCTGTAACTCCAGTTCCAGGGGATCTGATGCCTTCTTCTGGCCTTCTCAGCAACCTGCATTCACATGGCACATATACACACTCTGCTATGTTATGCCCAGTCTCAGGGACCCCCAAAAGACCACCGCGGAGACCGAATCTTATATGTAAAAGCAAAGAGCCTTTATTCTCTTCAAGCTCCGAGCTTGGTCTCTCTGTCTGTCCGGCGCAGTGGTGAGATCAGAGAGCCCTGAGCTCAGGTGGGGCAGAGTTTTTTTTTTTTTTGGTTTTTTTCGAGACAGGGTTTCTCTGTGTAGCTTTGCGCCTTTCCTGGAACTCGCTTTGGAGACCAGGCTGGCCTCGAACTCACAGAGATCCGCCTGGCTCTGCCTCCCTAGTGCTGGGATTAAAGGCGTGCGCCACCACCGCCCGGCCCGGGGCAGAGTTTTTATCATAGCAGAGGTTGGGGTGAGGGCATTTCCAGGGTCCAGGACCCTGATTGACTGACAATTGTCTAGGGTATCTGTAAAACAAAAACATGTGTGTTCTAGACTCAGGGACATCTGATCACCTTATCTAGTGGTTGGAATGTTTGGGATGTCAGGTCCTTTCCCATCCCTGGGTGGATTCCTGGGTGGTGTCAGTTTAAGGCTTTTCCTGGATCTGGGTGTTGCCTGCCAGTAAGCCTGTCACAGAAGCTGTGTCTAGGCCCCTAAGCCTGTCATGGCAGCTGTGTGGTCAAGCTACTCTGGCCCCCCACCCCCAACATGCTACACGTACATACAGATAAAACAAAACAAAATGAAAAGGGTTGAATTCCAGGCCATGAAGCATCGTGTCTTAATTGACAGCCCTTGTTCTTTGTGGTACATAAAACAATGTTGTTAAAATTGATGGTGCTGGCCTGATCTCTGTGTGAGTTCGAGGCTAGCCTGGTCTACAGAGAGAGTTCCAGGACAGGCTCCAAAACTACATGGAGAAACCTTGTCTTGGAAAACCAATAAAACAAACAAACAAACAACAACAACAACAACAACAAAAGATGGTGTCTTATACTCAGTGAAGTACAGTATTTGCATGTAAGGATCCAAGTTTCTAATTACTGTTTTAGTTGAGCCCCACAGGATTTGATGTGTAGGACCTAAGTTCATTGAACGTTAATGCGGTTTCCATTATGATTTCTTTTTGATGAATTATTCAGTAGTGTGGTTTGAGCTCCCAGGCTTACGGTGGGGTTTTGGCTTGGGGCTGTCTCTATTATTGATTTCTAATTGTGTTGCTTTGAGGTCTGAGTGGAGTCTATATGCTATCTTTCGTGGCCTAGTATAAAGGTGGTTCCTTCTCTGGTTGCTGGAGACTGTCTTGCCCTCCTCACGGCTCTGTCCCTTTCCTGTCCCTTTCCCTGGCCTTGACTATTGTAGCTACTCAGTCCTCCGGCCACCATTGGCCTCGCTGTACTAAGGCTACTCTGGGTTCTGGCTCCCAGAGCTCTGGGGGTCTATAGCTGCCACAGGCTGCAGTCCTGTGCCACACCCCAGAAAACCTGAAGGTGGGGTGGAGGATTTTGAAGAGAGGAAGTAGCTCAGCTGAACTTTGATGTTTGTATTCACAAGTAAAATGCTGGAAAGGGTGTGGTGTGTGTGTCCACCCTATCTCACTCACCAGTGTGATCTGGGAAGGGTGTGGTGTGTGTCCACCCTATCTCACTCACCAGTGTGATCTGGGAAGGGTGTGGTGTGTGTCCACCCTATCTCACTCACCAGTGTGATCTGGGAAGGGTGTGGTGTGTGTCCACTCCTTTCACTTATCCTCCCTTCCCTCCCTTTCCATCTTCTCTTCCTCTTCCTCCTTCCTCTCTCTCTGTCTCTGTCTTTCTCTCATTTCTTTTCTTTTTTCTTTTCTCTTCCTTCCTTCCTTTCTTTTTTCTTCTACTTTTTTTAAAAAAATGGTGGCGCACACCTTTAATCCCAGCACTCGGGAGGCAGAGCCAGGCGGATCTCTGTGAGTTCGAGGCCATCCTGGTCTCCAAAGCGAGTTCCAGGAAAGGCGCAAAGCTACACAGAGAAACCCTGTCTCGAAAAAACCAAAAAAAAAAAAAATTTTTTTTTTCAAGAGAGGGTTTCTCTGTGTATCTGTGGCTGTCCTGGAACTCACTTGGTAGACCAGGCTGGCCTCAAACTCACAGGGGTCCTCCTGCCTCTGCCTCCCAAGCACTGGGATTAAAAGTGTGCACCACCAAAGCCTGGCCTGTATGATTTTCTTATCAGAAGCCATTACACTGTGTTACTGAGTTTCTGTGCTCTATGAAGTTATGCACAAAGAAATCCAGTGTCTACTCATCTGACCTTTAGAAAAATTGGTTGAGGGGTAGAGAAGTGGCTAAGCCAGGAAGAGGACTTACTGCTCTTGCAGAAGAGTCCACACCAGGCGGCTCACGACCATCTGCAACTCTAGCTCCATGGGATCTGATGCCCTCTTCTGGCCTCCATGAGCAGCAGCACACATGTAGTGCACATACAGACATGCAGGCGTGCACATGTACACATAATTAACAACAATAAAAATAAATCTTAAAAAAGTAATTAAACAGGGCACATGCTGATGTAAAATGGTAAAGAACAGATTGACTTTTATAAAACATAAATCATACAGCAGAATAAAAAGAATGGTTCATCTGTCCTTATGACAGCCACAGACTTAAAGGACTCTTTTGTTACTATGGGTGGCTGGGAGGGTTAGAATTATTTTCCTTCTTTTTCTTCTCCCTCCTCCTTGAACTCTTTATGTAGCTGAGGGCAACCTTGAACTTTTGATTTTCATGCCCCTACCTCCCAAGTGCTGGGATCACAGGCATGAAGCACCATGCCTGCTTTCTTGTGCTGGGGGTGGAACCCAGGGCTTCCTGCACACCAAGCAAGCATGTTACCAACTGACCCACAGCCCCAGCCCATGTAGTTGTTTACATTTATTCATTCAGATGCTGCTTGAGAGCTGACTCACCTTTTCCAGGCGCTCTTCTAGACGCCACTGGGGGCAAAGTTACGTTTGTGGTTGATAATGGGAGGTGACCTGTGGAAGTTTCGGAAGGCACTTCTTCAGGTCGTGAGCCAACTGCTGGAGAACGTGCCGAGGTGTCCACACAGTGAATAGCGACACCTAGCTGCTTCAGAGCTCTCCTCCACTCAGTTTAGAGCAGGCGAGCCGTGTGGAGGCACAAGCAGTCTGGATTAGTGCCCTGGATTTCAGACTCTGGCACCACAGTATTGTTGTCAAACTTGGGTCTAGATGTTTAGTTTTTCCCTCAATGCAGGCATGTGCATAATCTTTTGAACCTGTTTCCTCCTCATTGTGTGTGTGTGTGTGTGTGTGTGTGTGTGTGTGTGTGTGTGTGTGTGTGAATGTGAGCACTTATGAGAGCTAGATGTGATAATGTGTTAACACGACCCCCAGGACACAATGAATACTAAATACTAGCTGCTTTAAAATTGTACTTACCGTGTGTGTGAGTATAGGTGTGCTTCTGCCTGGTGCCCATGTGGAGGTTAGAGGACAACCCTAGGAGTCAGTTCTTTCTTGCCACTCGTGAGATCTGGGGATTGAACTCAGGTCATCAGGCTTGGCCTCAAGCCCCTTTACCCACTGAGCCACCTCACCAGATACCCCTCCCCCATATTTCAAATATCATTTAGGAAATAAAATAGACTGTCAGGTATTTCATCAATATACTTAAATGGAGACCCTGTGTTACAGATGCCAAGCACGGTGATGTTCTAGAATCCAAGAGTTCTTTGGCCAACAAGATGACCTCTGACAGAAGGGCCAGTCTTTCGTCTTCTGATGAAGCAGGTCTGAGAGTCACTGAGCCCCCGGGACCACCCACTGGGGTGGTGATTCACTCTGAGTAAGTAATAGGGTGTGTGTGTGTGTGTGTGTGTGTGTGTGTGTATGGGGGTGTCTGTTGAGATTTTGACACTATTGGGGTGAACTATAGCAAGAAACGGATAGCCTGAGATCAGTGTGCCCTGCTAGGCAAGAACTTTAGAGCTAGACTACCCAGGTTCAAATCCCAACTTTTCCACTAATGGTCTGTGTGAAGTCGAGCAAATTGCATCAATCTCTAGGCCTTGGTTTTTTTGAATCATTTATTTATGTATCCCTCTCCCCATGTGTGTGCCTGCATGCCATTATGAACATGTGGAGGTCAAAGGGACAACTTGAGTTACACACACACACACACGCAAACATACAAAAGAATGAAAGAAAATAAAGAATGAGCATCCTAAGAGATATATATAGTCAAGACTATAATTACCGGGGCTGGAGAGATGGCTCGGTGGTTATGAGTACCAGCTGCTCTTCCAGAGGTCCTGAGTTCAATTCCCAGCAACCACATGGCGGCTCACAACCATCTATAGTGGGATCTAATGCCCTCTTCTGGCATACATGCAGACAGAGCACTTATATACATAAAATAAATAAATAAATAAATAAATAAATAAATAAATAAATAAACAAACAAACAAACAAATAAATACATCTTAAACAACCCCCCCCCCCAATAACGACAAACTTCTTAAGGTTGAGAATGTAGCTCAGCACAGAACACATACTTGCCAGAATGCCAAGGCCCTGGGTCCAACCTAGGTCCTTCTTTTTAAAAATGATACAAGAAAAAATCAGAGTGATAGAGAGATGTGCATACTTCTTATGAAGACCACAGATTTTCCAGTGTTCTACCTCCCGTCGCTCCTTCGAGCAATACAGGAAGACAGGAAAAAGTAAGAGGACATAAGTGGACATGGGAAGAGAACGGAGCCCCTCACCTGCACTCTGGTTGAAGTCTCTCACTGGCTGAGAGCCAAGAATTCCAGCGCAGAGGGCTGGAGAGATGGCTCACCTGGCTTTGGTTCCTAGAACCCACAAGGTGGCTCACAACCACCACGAACTCCAGTTCCAGGGGGTCTGATGCCCTCTTCTGGCCGCCATGGGCACTGTGTGTACATGGTACCCTTACATTGCAGGTAAAACACTCATACACAAAAAATAAATCTTTAAAATACATATAACAAAACAAAGGCATTTTATCCTTATTTATTTATTTATTTATTTATTTATTTATTTTGGTTTTTCGGGACAGGGTTTCTCTGTGTAGCTTTGGAGCCTTTCCTGGAACTCACTCTGTAGCCCAGGCTGGCCTCGAACTCACAGAGATCCGCTTGGCTTTGCCTCCCGAGTGCTGGGATTAAGGGCGTGTGCCACCACTGTCTCACTTTATCCCTTTTTAACTGCACAGTGAAGTGGCATTAATTACATTCATAGTGTCTTACAACCATTGCCACTGCCTATATATTTTTTTAATTATTTGTTTTTATTTTACGTACATTGGTGTTTTACCTGCATGTATATGTCTGTGTGAGGGTGTCAGATCCCCTGACATTGGAGTTACAGACAGTTGTTGCCCCGGCCAGCGGGGTGTCAATGGGGGTGACCCACCTGCGGGAGAGAATGAAAGGGATGGGGGAGACACGAAAGGAAGACAGCAAGACAGTGTGTTCTGATCAAGCTGCAAATTTTATTCTCCTCAGCAAGGCATATATATAGAAGGGGAGGGGGCAGGAAGGAGGGAAGGGGTACACGACATGCCGTACGTGCAGGTGAAGGGGGACATGCAGGTAAAGGACTACATGCAAGTTGTGAGGCTGCTAGGTGGTAAGGTCACTGGTCAGTTCTTTATCTTTGGGCGCATCTGGTTTAGGGCAGGGGCTTGTTCTCTGGCCTAGCTAATACTTTTCCATGGTTCATGTTTGGTCCCTGACAAGTTGTGAGCTGCCATGTGGGTGCTGGGAATTGAACCTGGGTCCTCTGGAAGAGCAGCCAGTGCTCTCAACTGCTGAGCCATCTCTCCACCCCACCACTGTCTATTTTCAAAACAATTCATCAATCTAAACACAAACTCTGTATCCACTGAGCAGTATTCTTTCTTCTTCAGCTCCTGGAAACTTCTCAGCTACTCTGTCCTTGTATTAGTAGGGTCATATCGATTTGTTCTATGTCTGGTTAATTTTTACTTCAGATAATTGATTCAAGGCTCACCCATGTGGTAGCATGTTGCGGAACTCCACTCTTTGTAGGCCGAGTTTTATTCCTATGTGTAAGCTGAACTTCATCGGTTCACCTACCTGTTGCTGGATGCTTGGAGTTATTTTCTGCAATGCACAGCCATAGACCAGTGTCTTCCTAAGTTTTTGTTCTCTGTTCTTGTGAGTATATACATAGGGGTAGAGTTGCTGGATCATGGAGCATTTCCATGTTTTACTGTATGAGGAGCTAGTACTTTGATTGCTTTTTAAAAAATGTTGGTTTAAATATGTATGTATGTGTACCATATGCATGCCTGGTGCCTGTAGAGGCTAGAAGAGGGCATCAGATTCCTTAGAACTGGAATTACAGGTGGTTGTGAGCTACCATGTGGGTGCTGGAAATTGAACCCAGGTTCTCTATAAAAACAGCAAGTGCTCCTAACTGATTAGCAATCTCTCTAGCCTGTTTTGAAAAATTACATTTAATTTATTAATTAATTTGGTGTGTGGCTGGGTGTATGCCTGGGGGCTAGAGGACTACTAACAAGAGTTGGTTCTTTTCTTCTGGAAACATGGGTTACCAGGGATCAAACTCAGGTCCTCAGGTGGCAAACAGCTTTACCTGTTGTTGGTTGTTTTCACTCTTTACTCTTTGGGGGCCCACCACCCAGCTCCCAGATAAATCACACGGAGTCTTATTATTACTTATAGATGCCTGGCCTTAGCTTGGCTTGTTTCTAGCCAGCTTTTCTTAAATTATCCATCTACCTTTTGCCTCTGGGCTTTTATCTTTCTCTAGTCTATATCCCTTTCTTTCCTTCTTACTCCATGGCTTGCTGTGTAGCTGGGTGGTTTGCCCCTAGAATCCTCTCTCCTTTTCTCATTCCTTCATTTCTATTCCCAGATTTCTCCTTCTATATATTCTCTCTACCTGCCAGCCCCGCTTATCTTTTCTCCTCCCTTGCTATTGACAGGTCAGCTCTTTATTAGACCCATCAGGTGTTTTAGACAGGCATAGTAACACAGCTTCACAGAGTTAAACAAATGCAACATAAAGGAATGCAACACATCTTTGCATCATTAAACAAATGTTCCACAGCATAAGCAAATGTAACACCTCTTCGGATAATATTCTACAACATTTACCCAATTGTTTGTTCTTTCTATCTCTATCTATGTATCTATCTATGTATCTATGTATCTATCATCTATATCTATCTCTATATCTATCTATCTATCTATCTATCTATCTATCTATCTATCTATCTATCTATCTATCTTTATTTATCTATATATTTGGTTTTTCCAGACAGGGTTCTCTGTATATCCCTGGCTTTCCTGGAACTCACTCTGTAGACTAGGCTGGCCTTGAACTCAGAGATCCACCTGCTTCTGTCTCCTGAGTGCTGGGAGGCATAAGCCACTACTGCCCAGCTAACCTGATTGTTTTAAGGCATGGATATTTTGAGTAAGTTTTAGTACCTTCAAGTTGTGAGTCAGTAAAACTGCTCAGGGACTTTATAGAGACTGAGGCCAGTCCTGTTGCTGAGATCTCATGTGCTGCTAATGTAAGATTAGTTTGATTTTTCAGTTTGAGCAGAGAGGCCATTCTAACCCTGCCACTTGCCTTCCAGCACAGCTGCGGAGATGGGTCAGAAGTCCTCCTCCTCCTCCTCCTCTTCCTCCTCTCCTTCTTCTGCACAGTCTAATCGCTCCTCTGAATTTTCACTGCCTGGATTCCAGAAGGAAAAATATCCTGAGGAATTCAGCCTGCTTAAGTCACAGACAAGTGAGTAGGCCCCAGGTCTTCCTCCATAGGCCTCTGCTCCTGGGGCCTTTTCAGAAATCTGTCATATTATGGGCCAAGTCACGGAAGACCTCCCCTGCCCAGTGCCAGCTCTGGCATGTTTCCTCTTGGGTCCTCATGATGGCTGTGTGGGAGGTATGTATAGTCATATGGTTTTCACAGGTGAAAGGTCTTAGTGTAAGTGCCATAAAAAGTATTAAAGCAATATAGAAGTGTATAGACTACAAACCCCTTACTCAGTATTCTCCAACAATATTCTTCCCCATAGCTGTGAAGAGCTGACTTTTGAAATATGTACACCTATGTATGTATGTACGCACATAATACAAAAGCAGCCATATGTTGTATGATGCAGCTTTGGCCAACAGTGGCCTGCATATATGACAGCGTTCCACCAAAATATGATGAGGCTGAAAGCTTCCCATTGTCTGGTGATGTCATAACTCTCCTAATATGATAACACACACGAGATTTGAGTCTCTGGTGATACTGGTGGCCAGTTACATAAAGGCATAGCACACACATCATATCTGATAATGATAAATAACTATACCACTGGTTTAGATATTTAGTGTACTACACTATACCATCATTATGAAGTGTACTCTCTCTACTTATTATGAGAAGTTAAGGGGGCCCTGGCAAGGGAGCTTAGTGGACAAAGGCCCTTGTGTCTGAGTCTGAGTCTGGAGGAGGAAAAGGAGGAGGACTTCTGACCCGTCTCTGCAGCTGTGCTGGAAGACAAGTGGCAGGGTTAGTTAGAATGGCCTCTCTGCTCACACTGTGTCCACAGTCAGGAAGGAGAGGGGTGGTGATGGGAATGGCTGGTGCTCAGCTTGTTTCTCCTTTTTATTCAATCCAGGATTTAGTCCACACCCCAGCCTTCCTACCTCAGCTAACCCAGTCTAGAAACTCTCACAGACGTGCTCAGAGATGTGTCTCCTAGGTGACTCTGGATCCCATCAAGTTGACAGCAGCAGCTACCTCGCTGACCTCTCTGTGTAGGTCTGTGTAAGCACACTGTGGTGTTCAAAGAAGAACGAAGCAGCCTAATGACACATTTCCCCAGTCACTCAGTGGCACACATGTAGAAAAACTGAGTTGTGGTATATACAGTGTTTTCCCTCAATCGTCGCAGAGACCACAGACCTTTCCCTGCATCCACGCTTTAGGTCTATGTGACTGTTTGCACCAGTTATCTTTCTTTTCCTAAAAGATCATTTTTATTTGATGTATATGAGTGTTTGCTTGCATGTATGTGTGTGCACCTGGTCTGTGTCTGGTGCCCATGGGAGCCAGAAAGGGGGTATCAGATAAATAACTATACCACTGGTTTAGATATTTAGTGTACTACACTATACCATCTTCTTTGGAACTGGAGTTACAGATGGTTGTAGGCCATCATGTGGGTGCTAAGAACTGAACCTGGGTCCTCTGGAAGAGCAGTCAGTGCTCTTAACTGTAGAGGCACCTCTCCAGCTCCAGTATTAGTTATATATCTGTTGCTGTGATAAAATGCCACGACCAAAAAGAAAGATTTATTATAGCTTACAGCTCCAGAGGGATGGACTCCAGAATGTTGGGGAAGGCATGGTGGGGGAGGCAAGGAGTAGGAAGCAGAGGGGTCCCATTTCACCCTGACATAGGAAGCAGTGGGGGCAAGGAACAGGAAACAGGGCAAAGCCATAAACCCCCAGTACTGTACTTCCTTCATTAGGGATTGGGATGGGGTGGGTTAGGGGGCTGAGGGAGCTGAGAAGATGGCTCAGTGGGCAAAGTGCTTGCCACACAAGCATGAGGATCAGAGTTTAGATCCTAGCACCCATGTAAAAAGCTGAGCATGAGAGCCCGTGTGAGCATGAGAGCCTGTGTGAGCATGAGAGCCCGTGTGAGCATGAGAGCCCGTGTGAGCATGAGAGCCCGTGTGAGCATGAGAGCCTGTGTGAGCATGAGAGCCTGTGTGAGCATGAGAGCCTGTGTGAGCATGAGAGCACATGTGAGCATGAGAGCCTGTGTGAGCATGAGAGCCTGCGCCAGCATGAGAGCCCGTGTGAGCATGAGAGCCTGTGTGAGCATGAGAGCCTGTGTGAGCATGAGAGCCCATGGGAGCATGAGAGCCTGTGTGAGCATGAGAGCACATGTGAGCATGAGAGCACATGTGAGCATGAGAGCCCGTGTGAGCATGAGAGCCCGTGTGAGCATGAGAGCCCATGGGAGCATGAGAGCCTGTGTGAGCATGAGAGCCCGTGTGAGCATGAGAGCCTGTGTGAGCATGAGAGCCTGTGTGAGCATGAGAGCACATGTGAGCATGAGAGCCTGTGTGAGCATGAGAGCCTGTGTGAGCATGAGAGCACATGTGAGCATGAGAGCCTGTGTGAGCATGAGAGCCTGTGTGAGCATGAGAGCCTGTGTGAGCATGAGAGCCCATGGGAGCATGAGAGCCTGCGCCAGCATGAGAGCCCGTGGGAGCATGAGAGCCTGTGTGAGCATGTGAGCCCGTGTGAGCATGAGAGCCCGTGTGAGCATGAGAGCCTGTGGTTCAATTCCCAGCACCCACATGGTGGCTAACAACTGTAACTCCAGTTCCAAGAGAATCAATGCCCTTCTCTAACTCCCAATGGACACCAGGCATGCACGTGGTACACAGACATACAGGGAAAACACCCATATTCATAAAGGCAAAAATAAATATTAAAAAATAGATGAAAAAGCAATTGAGGAAGACATTGATGTTGACCTCTGGTACATAAACACACACCTTTATCCACACATACATGTATACACACACACATACACACACACACACACACACACCACAAAAGAGTTCATAGTGAGATTATCTCTAAAAGCCGAAAGAGTGTGAGGACTGGAGAGACGGCTCAGTGGTAACAGCACTGGCTGCTTTTCAGAGGACCTGGATTTGGTTCTTGGCACCCACATGGTGGCTCACAACTGCCTGTAACTTCAGTTCCAGGAAGATCCAAGGCCCTCTCTGGCCTCTGCGGACACTGCATGCCTGTGGTGCACATACATATTTGCAGACGAACACACATTTTTTAAAAGTGTACATGTGAGAAAGCTGTAGGCCAATAGAACCTGGGGAGTTTTTACATATTGCCATCTAATTGTCTTGAGGGAGGGAGCAGGGCTAACGGAAAGGTTTCTGATATCTTGCAGAAGATGGGCAGCGTCCTGAGTGGACATTTTATCCAAGGTTTAGCAGCAATATCCACACCTACCACGTTGGAAAGCAGTGCTTCTTCAGTGGAGTCTTCCGGGGCAACAGGAGGTCTGTGGCAGAGCAGACAGTGGACAAGAGCCTTGGGAGGAAGAAATATGGTAACGTGCCTCATCCCATCAAGGATGAAACAAACACACAGCAAGCCCTTAGTTGTGACTCTGTGGACTCTGTTTTCTCTGGCTGGGGACAGCTCTGCAGGGTCACCCTGCTGCCCACAGTGTAGACAGGAAGACAGAGAGCCCAGTTCACAGGTGACAACTTTCTGTGAAGGGCTCGGAATGCATGCTGAACCTCACTTTCATCTTTCTCTAGCTCTTATAAAATGCTAATGTGGCATTTAAGTCACCAAATGAGTCACTCCCGATTCTTATTAGTAGATGCCTCATTGAAGTCTAAGGACAATCATGTACATTTTCGTTAGATGTCACCTGCCATGTACATTTAAAGTAAGCTTTAGCATGTCATATACAATGTTATTTTTAATTTAATTAAAGGTAATGAAGGTAAAAATATTATACATACACCATATCTAAGCCATGTATCACCTTGGTTCATAACCTGGTGAGTTCTTTGCTCCAACTCCCTCAGAATATATTTTTCAAAAGATCCCGAGAGGTTGCTGAGCACCAGAGGGCCATTTATGGCATTTTCTTATAGGAATACCCATGTAGGCGGTGGCAGCCAGCGCCGAAGGAATGACTAAGATTTCTGCAGAAGCTATGCAAAGAGAAATAAGTACCAACGTCTCTTGTAAAACTCATGCAAAAGGCAAATGGATTTTCAGATTGAGGCTTGGATTTATCTGGATAAAGGGCCATCCTGGGGAAGCCCCAAGCATGGTCCCTGATGTGGAGCCTCCCAGGAGTCCCATGCCTTGCCTACATCCTAAACTTCCCATTCAAGAGAAAATGCAGAGCCACAGAGATGGCTCAGTGGTGAAGAGCCCGGGATGCTCTTGCCGTGGGCCTGCTTCTATTCCCAGCACCACGTGGTGGCTCACACCTGTCTGTAATTCCAGTTCTGGGGGATCTGATGCCTTCTTCTGGTCCCTGTGGCCACCAGGCACACAGGTAGTGCACAGACATACCTCATACACATAAACTTAAAAAGTTAATTTTTAAACTAATGGCTGCTGCACAAGTGTGAGAACCTGAGTTCAGATTCCCGGCACCCACACAAAAGCCAGGTGTAATGGTCATTTCCTGTAACCCCGGAACTGGGGAAGCTGAGACAGGCGGATCCGTGAGAGACTCTGAGTAAAAAAATAAGGTGGAGAGCAATTGAGGACAACATCCAGCACTGATGTTTGGCTTCCACGTGCGAGACCACATATGCATATTGTGCACCCATGTGCACTCATGTGCACATATATAAACACGTACATGTACATATACTACACACCCAAATACATTTAGAAAGGGAAATGCATGACATTTAATTGAGATCCAGAATGTATACAATTTACTTTTTCCTCACTCAAATATTTTACTGTTTTTGTTATTTAGAATTGAAGCAAGAGTGTTATACAGATGGACCACCACGATAAGCAGAACTTAATGAGTTTAGCAAATACCTAACGTTCAATACCTAGTGATAATCACTTTTCTGTTTTTAGTTTTAAAAATATAAATCGCCAGGTGGTGGTGGCGCACGTCTTTAATCCCAGCACTCGGGAGGCAGAGCCAGGCGGATCTCTGTGAGTTCAAGGCCAGCCTGGACTACCAAGTGAGTTCCAGGAAAGGCGCAAAACTACACAGAGAAACCCTGTCTCGAAAAAACCAATATATATATATATATATATATATATATATATATATATATATATATATAAATCATGGAATAAAATGGTGCTCAGTTGGTAGAGTGCTTGCCTAGCATGGACCAAGTCCTGGCTCTATTTCCTGCACTCCCAGCAGTTGGGAGATGTCGTCAGGAGGATTAGGCGTTAGAGGTCATCCTCAGCTACACAGTGAGTTTGAGGGCAGCCTGGGACACATGAAGTTCTGTCCCCGAACAAACAGAGTTCCACCCAGAACATCAGATTAGTGCATGGCTCAGTCTTCGTTAGAGAAACTTCTCGAAATAAAAGGAAATTAACACACAGACCCACAACTTGACAAGGCGCAGAGAGAGACTTGGGAGTGCTCAGGTCTGAATGGGGTGTCTGTATCATGCTCCTCCTCTCAAGGCTCAGTGATACATGCAGGAGAAGGGGCAGAAAAACTGTAAGAGCCAGAGGTGGTGGATGTCTCCAAAAGGCAGCATTTTCCTGACACGACAGGGCAGAAGCGCATATGAATTTACAGACTAGACAGCGTGCACATGACCTGCACAAGCTCAAGCCAGACAAGAATCCCAGCACGGAGGTGGGCATAAATTCCCATCCTCGCCAAGAAGCTGCCTGAAACTGGTGGCTGGGAGAGGGGAAATCAGTTTTCTTCAATGGAGTGACAGTGGGCATATCAGCCACATGCCAGGGCAGGCCCCATGCTCAGGAGTGCTTAGCCAACACAAATTAGATTCCTTTCTCTCTCTCTCTCTCTCTCTCTCTCTCTCTCTCTCTCTCTCTCTCTCTCTCTCTCTCTCTCTCTCTGTGTGTGTGTGTGTGTGTGTGTGTGTGTGTGTGTGTGTGTGTGTGTTTCAAGACATTACATGAAGTTAGGGAGAATCTAGAAGGAGTTGGGGGAAGGGAAAGAATATGATTAAAATACATTGTTTGAAATTCTTAAAGAATAAATAAAAACATTGAAAAAAATCAAGGGGCTGGAGAGATGGCTCAATGGTTAGGAGCACTGGTTACTCTTGCAGAGGACCTGGGTTTGTCCCTCAGCACCCACATGGTGGCTCACAGCCATCTGTAACTCTAGTCCCAGGGAATCTGACGCCTCTTACGGCCTCCGAGGGCATTGTACACACTGGTACATAGACAGACATGCAGGCAAAACACTCATATACACAAAATAATAAAATGTTAAAAGATCAAAATAAAAGCTACATGTCTTGCATGTCCAACAAAACCAACCAACGAACCAATCAAACAAACAAAAAACCCCAACAAGCAAGCAAATGTGTATAGTTCTTTTTTTTTTTTTTTTGACAGAGTTTCTCTGTGTGGCCCTGGCTGTCCTAGAACTCACTCTGGAGTGCTCGGATTAAAGGCATGCACCACCACTATCTGGCTTGTGTGTAATGTTTTATAATCTATAATGATAGAATACTTTTTCTTTTCATTTTAGGGTTTTTCGAGATAGGGTTTCTCTCTGTAGCCCTGGCTGTTTTAGAACTCACTCTGTAGGCCAGGCTGGCCTTGAACTCACAGAGATTTGCCTGCCTCTGCTTCTGAGCTGGGCTTAAAAGCATTCGCCCGACTCCTTTGCATTTTTTTACGGTGCTGGGAATTGAACCTACATGCTAGCTGCATGAGCTATATTCCCAGCCCTCCATGTTTTTAAAAAAAATTTTAAGTTATGATTTGAAAATTTCACACATGCACATGGTGTGTTTTGGCCATACCCTCACCTCACTCCCCACCTCCAATCCTCTTGGACCCCCATTATATCTTCTTCCCAACCTTTTTTTAAAAAATTAAAAAAAAATAGCTATTTTTAACCTTCAACTGGGGCTGCCCATATGTGTGAGGTCATCCACGGGTGCGGGGAACCTGCCAGTGGCCATGCTCTTAAATAAAAGTGACTCTCCCTCTCCCTGCAGCTATCTGCTGCCAATAGATCCTCAGCTCTAAGGCCTCAAGCTGCCCCTGATTCATGTGAAATTTTAACTGGCTTGATCTTGTGCAGATGTTGCCAGCTGCTGTGAGTGCATGCGCCACAGCCATACCACCTCCAGGGGACGGTATTTCACAGCCCTCCTCCTACCCTCTGGCTCTAACCTTCTTTCCACTCCCTCTTCCCCAGCCGTCCATGTTTTAAAATAGTCATGTATGATAACCCAGTGTAGTGAACTCGACTTTCCTAAGGCAGGGTAACGAGAACTCCGTCTCTCAATAAGCACGAAGATACTTGACTTTCACTGTCTTGTTGCTGCTCACAGCAAAAGGGCATTGGCTTCTGCCTTCTGTGTGATGTTTTCAAACATTTCCCACAGATATTGATCCCAGAAATGGAATCCCAAAGTTAACACCAGGGGATAATCCGTACATGCTCCCAGAACAGAGTAAAGAGTTCTTCAAAGCGGGAGCAAGTCTTCCACCTGTCAACTTTTCACTGTGAGTGCATGCTCGTTCCAGAGGAACTTTAGGGACTGTAAAGGGATCGGGTTTCTTCTGCCATATGTAAATTATTATTATTATCATTATTTATATATGTATTTTGGTGTGTGTGTTATAAGCACCTATTTGTGCAAGCATGCACACTCATGCATGTGTGTGTGTGGCGGCCAGAGGACATTGAGTATTTTCCTCTGCTGTCCCCACCTTATGCTTTTAGACTAGCTCTCTCTGACTGAACCCAAAGCTGGACATTTTGGCCAGGGCAGCTGGCCAGTGAGCTCCTGGGATCTGCCTGTCTCTGCCCCCTAACGCTGGGGTCACATGCAAACACAGTTGTGCCTGGCTTTTATGTGGGTTCTGGGGATTTGAAACTCAGGTCCTGCTGCTTTCATAGCAAGTCTCATACCTACTGAACCATCTCCCTAGTCCTTGCATAGAAATTATTTTTGAAGGGGTGGATCACATAAGATGTGATGGAGTGAAAAATTCGTTAAAAAGTTCTTATTTAGTTCATTTGTGCCTATACACACTGTGGAATTGACATGATAAGAGATACAAGAAGGACTGGGGATATAGCTTATTGGTGGTGTGGACAAAGGCAAGGCCTTCATTTCAACTCCCGATACTACAAAAAGGACACTATACTTTAAAGAAGCTATCTATCTATCTGTCTGTCTGTCTGTCTATACATATGTACATATGTATGTATGTACAGTGCATCACTGGGTGGGGGAAGGAAGAGGAACAGTGGGGAGGGGGTAAGAGAGGGGGATAGAAGGTTGAATATGAGCCAACTCCAATGATACGCATGTATAGAAATGTCATGAGACCCATTATACTGTACTTTCAAAAGCTGATAGAACAAGAAAGAAGTAGTTGTTTATTGGTCTGATTTCTATTACCACATACTTGAAGGCTTCAGAGCTTTCCTACCCAGTCTGACTGTTAGTGACTAGTATACAGCTTGACGTTAAATGTGGAAGTGAACTTGGGAAAAATACAATCAAAGAGAAGTCATTCAACTAAAAGGAAAACAGTAGTTATATTATATTGAAAATAACTAGAAAACCAGTCACCTGAGAGTCAATGATCTTGATGAAACACAACAAAAAAATTAAACACTATTCCCTGTCCAGTTTTGAAGCCCACATGTGAGAACTGATACCAGAAGGTAGGTATCATGGTTTGGGAATGATGATGTGTTGCTCTCCATGCTTAAAGTGGTCATTGCCATTTTATGGTTTTTTTTTTAATTGTTCTCTTTTCAGGGTTCCTTATGAGAAAAAATTTGATACATTTATCCCATTGGAGCCACTTCCACAAATTCCCAAGTGAGTTTTCTCACCAAGTTTCTATGATACTATCTCTTAGAAAATGACACCCTTTCCTCCCATGGAAGAGCCTGTAGAACGTCGAACCATGGGGACCCTTTGTGTCTCAACAGCAGGGTCAGTGCAGTATATAAGGTGGACAGTTGGAGAGACACACAGAGGTCAAGTGTCTGTGGCATCTGGCAAGGAGAGGGGGACAAATTCTACATAGGACACTAGCTAACTGCCAGATGCCACTGTGTGCTTAAGTATGCATGGGAGGGGAGTTAACATGGAGCAAAAGGGCTGATAATACCCCGTTTTCAGAGTATTATCACATTTGAGTGTTCTGGGAAAGAAAAGCACATGTTTAATGATTGTAACTGGGAACTCAGAGCTTCAAAACCAAAGAGAAACCCAATAGAACACCCCTATATTTAAGGGAAGGACAATCTCTGTTTTTATACTAAAATTTAAAAAAAAAGACATGCGGGCATGGAGGCACACGTGCCATGTGTGAGGGAATTGGTTCTCTCCTGCTATGTAGAGGGTCTCGAGGACTGGACTCAGAGTTTCATGCTTGGCAGCAGAGGTCATTACTTATTGAGCCATCAGTGGCCCTAATTTCATGCTTATAGAATTAAATATTTTTTAAATTAAAAAATATGTGTGTGGGTGTTTTGCCTGCATGTATATCTGTGTACCATGTGTGTGTCCAGTACCCAGAGATACCAGAAGAGGGTTTTGAATTCCCTAGAACTGAATTTCAAGCCACTATGTGGGTGCTGGGAATCAAACCAGGGTCTTCTGCAAGAGCAGCCAGTGTTAACCACAGTGAGCCATCTCTCCACCCCTGATTTCACACTTTTGCTCTGCTCCAGTCTGAACCTCATTTACCTCTCCCTCTCTCTCTCTCTCTCTCTCTCTCTCTCTCTCTCTCTCTCTCTCTCTTTTCGAATATAGTCTCATGTAAGTATGGTGAGGTAGGCGCATGTTCCTTAGTCTCACACGTTGAGATTCAGTGGGAGTACCCAACCTCAGAGCTCGGAGGAAATAAAAACCTTTGATTCTAAACTTGGCACCTCTAATGCCTTCATTATACTTCATTATTCCTTATAACATGTAATCAGGCTCCTCATGTCTGTACTTTCTTTTTTATAAACACTATTCTAGAATACTCAAAATACCAGCAACTGCCTAATCTTACCATTCTACCCAACTATTTTAGTTTTTGTAAATATATGCAAATATATCTGTATGTATAAATCATAAAATACCAAGCAGTATGGTTTTTCTAACCTATTACATTGTATTTATTTTTGGTTTTTCAAGACAGGGTTTCTCTGTATAGCCCTGGCTGTCCTGGATCTCACTCTGTAGACCAGGCTGTCCTGGAACTCACAGAGATCTGCTTGCCTTGCCTCCTGAGTGCTGGGATTAAAGGCGTGCGCCCTAGGTGCTCTTTTGTACTGGGGGCAATCTATGAATCAGGAGACTTGGGCTTTCTTCATTGCACATTGACCTGGAAGTCATCTAACCAACTGATCACATCAGGAGACAAAAGGGCTCCCGTTTCAGGAGCTGTTGCTGGAAATACTACTTACTGTTTCTTAGATTTAGTCTCCTACTCCCTCAGGACACAAGTAGTCGAAAATCTTTTTTTTTCTTTTACGTTTTATAAAATCTTCATTGACAAATAATTTACATAGTATACAATTTGCCTGTTTGCACAATTTGATAGACTTTAGTCCAGCATCCTCATAGGCCCATGACACCATCACCACTTTCTATTTTAGAACATTGCTGTCTTCAATTTCATACACACATATAATGTATGGTGATTACACTCCACCTTATTTTTTTAAATGAATATAGTATTTGCAATTGTAGCCATTTTTAAGTTCAGAATTCAGTGGCATAAATTACATTCAAGATATTAATTACACTCATTATATTCATTAATTACACTCATATTAATTACATTTGTGGTATTCATTGATTACATTCTCAGTATTCATTAACTATATTTATGATATGATTTATTACATTCATGATATTATGTCTTGATACTACTGTCTGTTTGTGGGGCTTTTCCATCACACAAAACAGAAACTCTGTACTTAAGAGATCATTGCTCTATATTCCTTTCTTCTCCATCTTGAGATAACGTCTAATCTTTCTGTCTCTATGAATTTGTATATTTCATATATTTTATGTAATACAATTCTATAGTATTTGTCCTTTTTTGAATGTAAAAACATTTTATGTACAACTGCAGGAGAAATAATACACAGATATCTTGAACATAAAAACAGGTTATAATTTAAAAGTCCAGGGTTATTTGAAACTGGAAAACATTTTCTCTGTAGATAATAGTAAAAATGATAACATTTCCCAATAAGCCCTTTTAAGCCAAATAATAGCTGAATTATACATATAAATATTGATTAGCTTCTGGGATACAGAAGAAACCTATCTTCATCTGTTCAGAGAGCTATGTTTTACTTAAGTAGTGTAAGTGAGATTCCTATTCATATTCCCCTTCACTGTTTGATTTACAGCAGACATTTTTCTATAGGCTAATTCATATTCTAAAAAAATTTTATCCTCCCCTCCTGAAAGTATATCCAGTATATTCTTTCATTAGATTGATCTGGTACAAATTCTTATCCTAATAGTGAAATGTTTCACTAAAGCTTTCCCAGTGATTGGGCAAAATCAAAACTTATTATAAGCTACAGTCATCCTAGGGTCCCCCCTGCTATGTAGCCTCCCTGGATCTGTGGGTTGCAGTCTGATTGTCCTTTGCTTTATATCCAGTATCCACTTATGAGTGAGTACATACTATGCTTGTCCTTCTGAGTCTGGGTTACCTCACTCAGGATATTTTCTAGTTCCATTCATTTGCCTGCAGATTTCATTATATCATTGTTTTTCTCTGCTGAGTAGTACTCCAGTGTGTATATGGACCACATTTTCTTAATCCATTCTTCAGTTGACGGGCATCTAGGTTGTTTCTAGTTTCTGGCTATTATGAATAATGCTGCTATGAACATAGTTGCGCATGTATCTTTGTGGTATGATTGAGCATTCCTTGGTTATATATCTAAGAGTGGTATGGCTGGGTCTTGAGGAAGATCGATTACCAATTTTCTGAGAAACTGCCATACGAATTTCCACAGTGGTTGTACAAGTTTGCATTCCCACCAACAGTGGAGGAGTGTTCCCCTTGCTCTACATCCTCTCCAACATAGATTGTCATTATGGTTTTTGATCATAGCCATTCTGACAGGTGTAAGGTGGTAACTCAGAGTCCTTTTGATTTGCATTTCTCTGATGACTAAGGATGTTGAGCATTTCCTTAAATGTCTTTCAGCCATTTGAGATTCTTCTTTTGAGAATTCTCTGCTTAACTCTGTAGCCCATTTTAAAATTGGATTGTTTAGTATTTTGATGTCTAGTTTCTTGAGTTCTTTATATACTTTGGAGATCAGCCTTCTGTCAGATGTGGGGTTGGTGAAGATCTTTTCCCATTCTGTAGGCTGTCTTTTTGTCTTATTGACTGTGTCTTTTGCCCTACACAAGCTTCTCAGTTTCAAGAGGTCCCATTTATTAATTGTTGCTCTCAGTGTCTATGCTACTGGTGTTATGTTTAGGAAGTGGTCTCCTGTGCCAATGCATTCAAGAGTACTTTCTACTTTCTCTTCTATCAAGTTCAGTGTAACTGGATTTATGTTGAGGTCTTTGATCTACTTGGACTTGAGTTTTGTGCATGGTGACAGATATGGATCTATTTGCAATCTTCTACATGCTGACATCCAGTTTTGCCAGCACCATTTGTTGAAGATACTTTTTTTTTTCCATTGTATAGTTTTGGCTTCTTTGTCAAAAATCAGGTGTTCATATGTGTGTGGATTAATGCCAGGGTCTTCAATTTGATTCCATTGGTCTGTATGTTGGTTTTTATGCTAGTACCAAGCTGTTTTTATTACTATAGCTCTATAGTAGAGCTTGAGGTCAGGGATGGTGATGCCTCCAGGGGTTGCTTTATTGTACAGGATTCTTTTAGCTCTCCTGGGGTTTTTTGTTTTTCCACATGAAGTTGAGTATTGTTCTTTCCAAGTCTGTGAAGAATTGTGTTGGGATTTTGATGGGGATTGCATTGAATCTGTAGATTGCTTTTGATAAGATTGCTATTTTTACTATGTTAATCCTACTTATCCATGAGCATGGGAGATCTTTCCATTTTCTGATATCTTCTTCAATTTATTTCTTCAGAGACTTAAAGTTCTTATCATACAGGTCCTTCACTTGTTTAGTTAGTGTTACCCCAAGGTATTTTATATTATTTGTGGTTATTGTAAAGGGTGATGTTTCTCTGATTTCTTTCTCAGCCCTTTTATCATTTGTATATATTAGGGCTACTGATTTTTTTTTTAGTTGATCTTGTACTCTGCCACTTTACTGAAGGAGTTTATCAGCTGTAGGAGTTCCCTGGCAGAATTTTTGGGGTCACTTATGTATACTATCATATCGTCTGCAAATAGTGAAAATTTGACTTCTACCTTTCCAATTTATATCCTTTTGATCTTTTGTTGTCTTTTTGCTCTAGCTAATACTATATTGAGATTGTGTCTCTATGCAGTTGAAAACCTTATCTAGAGCCTATTGTTTTTTTTTTCTTCTTTGACAGGGTCTCATGTAGATTAGACTGACCTTAAACTCACTATGTAGCCAAAGATGACCTTGCATTTTCAGTTGTGAGCCTAGCCTTTAACAGCTGAGCCATCTCTCCAGCCTGACCTTGAATTTTTGATCTTCCTGCTTGCACCTTCCAAGTGCTGGGATTACAGGCATTGTCATACTTGGTTTATGTGGTACTGCGGATCAAGCCACAGCTTCTTGCATGCTACAACAGCACTCTACCAACTGAGCTACACCTCCTTCTGTCACTGTTTTTTTTTTTTTTTTTTTTTTTTTTTTTGGTTTTGGTTTTTCAAGTCAAGGTTTCTCTGTGCAGCCTTGACTGTCCTGGAACTCTTTTTGTAGACCAGGATGGTCTCAAACTCACAGACTTACCTGCCTCTGTCTCCTGAGTGCTGGGATTATGCACCACCATATCTGGCTTAATATTTTTAATTTCTAGAAGTTCTGTGTGACTTTTAACATTATTTATTGTGTGTATGTATGTGTGGGTCCTGGGGATGGAACTTGGGCTGTCACATTTGTTGGCAAGTGCCCTTATCGACTGAGCTATCTGACTGGCTCCCCATCTGATTTTTTTTTTATATCTTTTATTGATTCACTTGTTTTCCTTAAATACTTCAGCACAGTTATCATAGTTGTGTTGGTATTTTTGTTCAATAAATGATTTCTGTCATTGCTAGGTCTGTTGTTACTGATTTTTTCATCTGATTATTGATCACAGTTTCCTGTCTTGGCAAGACTAGTAATTTTTGCTTGGATATAGAACATTGTGATTTTATGGTGTTGAGTATCTGGGCTTTGTTATCTTTTAAAGAACGTTCAGCTTTATTCTGACAATCATTTTCAATTTGGTATGATATTTTGATATTTAGTTTTTGAAGTGGTGATGCTTTTGAGGATGTTTTGACTATTGTTAGGACTTCTCTAAGTTTAGAGTAACTAACCATTCCCTTTGGAGTCTCTACAAAATGCTTGGAGTAATCAATGAAGAGTTTTCAACTTAGTTGGTGAGATATAGAAGGATTTTTCAGTCTTCTGTGAGAGCTGGAAAGAATTCAGCTAATATCTTAGTTAGAGGTTTATTCAGCTTATACTTCCATATCACTGTTCATCACCAAAGAAAGTCAGGGCAAGATCATGGAGGCAGGAGCTGATGTAGAGGCCATGGAGGGGAGTTGTTTACTGGCTTGCTCAGTTTGCTTCCTTATAGAACCCAGGACCACTGGCCTAGGAATGGCACCACCGAGAATGGGCTGGGGGCCCTCCCCTATCAGTCACCAATTAAGAAAATACCTTACAGGCCTGCCTACAACCAATCTTATGGAGACATTTTCTTAATTGAGGTTCCCTGCTCTCAGATGATGTTTGCTTGTGTCAAGTTGACATAAAACTATCCAGCACAGCTCACAATAGACTACTTTATTGTTCTATGGCATCCTGCCCTATGCACGCATGTCCTAACATCCAGCAAAGCTCAAGGGGACTGCTGCATACATTTTGGAAGCTCATTTTCTATGCAGCTCCTCCCTTCCCACAGCTTTGCCCTGCTGTTTCCGTACCTCAAAGCTTCTGTAATGACTTATCTCTGGCTTGTTGAGAACATTGTGCTCTGTCTGCTTGGATTGTCCATTTCCTCAATTATGAAACAAAATTTGCAGGTGGCCTTTTATTTCCCATGTCATTGGATGAATGAGTTTTATATAATTGCATTACTCTCATTATCCACATATGTAAATATTAAGATTACACTTCTCATTCTCTTTCAATTGCATTTAGCTGATATATCTTGTCATTCTTTTGCTTTTGTATTTAGGTCTGCCTTTTTAAATATATATACTTATATATATTTAAAATACTTATATATATATATATATATATAGTTTACTTATTTCATCTGTGTGTGTGTGTGTGTGTGTGTGTGTGTGTGTGTGTGTGTGCACTTATGTTTGAACGTGTGCATGTGGAGATTAGAAGTCAACCTTAGGCCGGGCGGTGGTGGCGCACGCCTTTAATCCCAGCACTCGGGAGGCAGAGGCAGGCGGATCTCTGTGAGTTCGAGGCTAGCCTGGTCTACAGCATGAGATCCAGGAAAAGCGCAAAGCTACACAGAGAAACCCTGTCTCGAAAAACCAAAAAAAAAAAAAAAAAAAGAAGTCAACCTTAGGTGTTGGCCATCTTTTTATTTTGAGACAGGGTCTCTCTACTGCCCTGAAGTTTGCTGACTGGGCTAGGCTGGCTGGCTAGAGAGCCACTAGTATCTGCCTCTCTCTGCCTTCTCCAGTGCTGGGATTACAAGTAGACACCACCACATCCTGCTTTGTTATGTGAGTTCTGGGGATTGAACTCAGGTCCTTGTGGCTGCATGGCAATCACTTTACTGTTGTGATATATATATATATATATATATATATAGATATATATATATATCTCACATATATCCTTTAAAAGTTTATGTGTCAGAAAAAAAGAACTAGAACCAATAAAGACAAGTAGACCAAGTGATCCAGCTCTCAGAATGCCTCTGTTGAAGTTTTCTCAAAATTCTGAATCCAGAACAACTTCAAAGCTGCTGGCTGAGATGGTCTAGCCTCACAGACTATCCATCCAGAACTTCAGATAAGCCCATTACACTGAGACTGGACAAGCCAGCTTTCCCAGGACTTGACCATTATCCCAATTTTCTCAGGGTCCCCTAAAGATGCTGTCACCCCCAGATAGCAGGAAGCAGTCTACACAACACCCACATTCCCAAGAGGTGGAGTGGGTAGTTTTTGGTCATTCAATGGACTGTGGCTGTTTATCATTGTTTGGGGGGGGAGGGGGAGCTGTTGGTTATCAGTTGTTGGTCATGGTCAAATAAGAAGCTGAACAAAGGAGATTAAATTCAGGGATCTCTTTCTAAAAGGAAAAAGGGGGTTATAATACAGAAATGCTAGGATAAGAGGGTGGATTGTTGAGTCTGCTTTTGAACTTGTCTCAAATATTTTACATTAGTATGGGTTTTTGTATATTGATACAAATTTAAGGTTATTTTTGTTATACTGTATATATGTTTCTACTCTTTTTTAAAGTATTGTACATATGAGCTCATTTAAAAAGGTAACATCGGGAGGCAGAGCCAAATTTCTAGTCCTTGAAACTTATTATTACAAACTATTTAGGATAATTAGAGAAATATAGGTTAGTAGTTAGTCATCTAACAATCAAATTTGTGGCCATGTTAGGTATGCTTTCAAGGTCAAACAGATATATTTTATATAGACATATAAACTTCAAACACTTCAGAGACCTGCAGAATATGGCATTTAAGATGTTTTAATAAGCTGGGCAGTGGTGGCGCACGCCTTTAATCCCAGCACTCGGGAGGCAGAGCCAGGCGGATCTCTGTGAGTTCGAGGCCAGCCTGGGCTACCAAGTGAGTTCCAGGACAGGCGCAAAGCTACACAGAGAAACCCTGTCTCGAAAAACCAAAAAAACAAAACAAAACAAAACCAAAAAAAAAAAAAGATGTTTTAATAATAGAAGGCTTTTCATGACAATGAGACATGTCTGCTCCTGGCAGCACCAATTTATTTAAAAAAAAAAAGGATGGTGGGCATCAAAGAACCTCCATACAGAGTTTGCATTCTTTGTGCCAAAAGCTAGCCATTTGGGCAAGAAATTGCCCTTGCTTTGACTGCTGACAATATGCTGTCCAAATTAGACAAGCAGGGCACAAAAGGAGGCAACTGCTGAACTTTGCCACGACAAGGTAGGACAGTCCTTCAAAATTCCTGCTTCACAAGAAAGTCTGTCAGATATTCTAGGCCTGTAGGCCAAGGGTGGATGCCCCAACATTACAGAGGAACCTTGGGTGACTGACTAGGCGCCCAGCTGTTTCTGTCATTTCTATAGTTTTGGAAGTTGCTTGTTCTATACTTCCTGTTTACTCAGGTACTATTTTATTCTTCTTGGTTCTCTGATAGGGATTGAAGACTAGATAGTATACAGTTTTCAGTGTTACCAAATTCAGAAAAAAAACTTACATAAGCGATAAAAAGTTTATAAGGTTAAGAAACATAAAAGCTTAAGTTGTTTATCTAAGATGGTTTTAGGTTTAAAAATATATTTTTAGGATGGTAATACAAGTTATGATAGAAAATGGTTTAGGTATAAAACTTTGGACTCAATATAGGATAGATAACACAATAATGTCTCTGAATTTGCCAAATACATATGTACTAAACATTGTGAATGTAATTCTTACTTGATAATTGTTCTTATTGTATATAGTTTTACTAGGTTAGAGTTAAAACCTTTCCTTTTTATTTAGACAAAAGAGGGAAATGTTGTGGGATATTTGTGCACTGTATGAAGATATATTGCTGTTGATTGGTTTAATAAAGAGCTGAATAGCTAATAGCTAGGCAGGAGGTATTAGCAGGACTTCTAGGCAGAGAGAGGAAATAGGAGGAGATAATCAAGGCACAGAGGAGATGCCAATGAGACATGGAGGGAGTTGGATATACAGAATGAAAGAAAGGTAAAAAGCCACATGGTAAAACATAGATTAATAAAAGCTGGCAAATTTAAGTTGTAAGAGCTAGTGGGACAAGCCTAAGCTAAGAATGAGCTTTCATAATTAACAAGTCTCCATTTCATTATCTGTGAGCTGGTTGCCCAAAGGAAAGTCTGACTACACTTTACTCAATTACCCCAGCCCCCTGATGTGGAGGCCTCCTTAATTTTGTGGGCATGTAGTGCCTTATCTATTGGTGGTGTTTGTAAATTTAACATGGCATACATTCAAACTCATCAGGATTGTGTTTTTCCTCCAGCTTGCCTTTCTGGGAGAAGGAGAAGGCCAACAACTTGAAGAATGAGATCAAAGAAGTCGAGGAGCTAGACAACTGGCAGCCACCACCACCCTTTCTACACAGTTTTTTCTCCTCTGGTAGGTGCAAGAAATCTCAAAAAATGATAAAACCTGGAGTTCAGAAGAACAGTCTTTTGGGAGGCTTCATTTGGAGCTCAGAGATGGCAGAGCCTCTCCTGGAGTGGGTGTGTCTTCTTCCTCAAGGGGTCCTCTGGGCAGAGGTCCCCACCATGCATTGAGCATTGAATGTGTTGGTTTAGACCTGTTGGGCTTGTAAGGGAACACACTCTTTAATGCTGTACCTCTATTCACAGGTGCTTCCAACTTTCCAAGACATCCCTGAGCAGAAATGAGCACCCAAGCATGCACTGACTGACCTCCAGCCAGCCTCTGCCATTGCTGGGTTTTTCTAGTCTTTGTTTTTGGCATTGTCTCTGTCCTAAACCAGTTATCTGACTCTAGTGAGGGATCACTATGATTTGCCTTGTTTAACTGTCAACTGTAAAAACTTTCAAAATGTATAGAGAAGTTGCACCAACCATAAAGTAGACAGCAGCATATCTTTCATCTAGATTCTACCACTGACAGCATTTATCCCAGTTCTCTCCCTCTTACTGTTTTTTGACCCACTTGGGAGCTAGTGACACACATCATAATCCTTTACACTTTCAGACCTCATACCTCAAGCGTGTGTCTCTCGAAGTGGTGGGTATTTTCTACCCAGGGTATGCAAATTTCCAATGCAAGGTATTTAGCACTGACAGTAATTAATATACAGCTCACATTTGGTTTTACTCATTTGTTTTCTGAAGAATGCCTGTAGGTCAGTGGTAACAGGTAGATTCCTCAGACTGCTACAACAGAATACTAGAGACTGGGTAGTTTATAAACAAAAGGAACTTCCATCTCATAGTTCTAGAGGCTGGGAAATCCAAGGCCAAGCTGCTGGTGGATTTGGTATTTGGTGAGGCACTGCCTTCTTGCCACTTAAGGGAAAAAGGGGTTTTTGGCTCACAGTGCCAGAGGGATCCAGTCAGCCACAGTGGAGAAGACATGGCTGCAGGCAGGGAAGGCACTGTGGTGGGAGCAGGAGGCTGGCTGCTCACACTGTATCCACAGTCCAAATGTGAGCAGGAAGAAGGACCAGGGCATAAAGCCAGGAGGTCTGCTCCAGTGACCCACTTCCTTCCCTGATGCTCCCCTCCTAAAGGATCTAATCTCCTCCTTAAAGACTCCTTGCGACCAGACCAGCATTACCTTTTACATGGACAGTTCCCACTAAATCGCTTCCCTTTACGCCTTGCACTGTCAAAGTCCTATACAATTTCCTTCCTTCCTTCCTTCCTTCCTTCCTTTCCTTCCTTCCTTCCTCCCTCCCTCCCTCCCTCCCTCCCTCCCTCCCTCCCTCCTTCCTTCCTTCCTTCGAGACAGGGTTTCTCTGTGTAGCCCTGGCTGTCCTGGAACTCACTCTGTAGACCAGGCTGGCCTTAAACTCAGAGATCTGCCTGCCTCTGCCTCCTGAGTGCCAGATGGTGGTGATGCAAGCCTCTAGTCAATTTTCCATGTCTTTGTGTCTGTATTAGTTTCATTTCTCATTGCTGTATCAGATGAAGCAACTTAAGGTTTATTTTGGCTTACAGTTTGAAGGAATATAGTCTTATCATGTCAGGGAACGTACAGCAACAGTACTATAAAGCAGCTGGTCATATTGTATCTACAACTGGAAAAACAGAGAGAGAGAGAGAGAGAGAGAGAGAGAGAGAGAGAGAGAGAGAGAGAGAGAGAGGAACGCTGGTGCTCAGCTGGATTTCTCATTTTTATTTTACCTATGACTCTAGCCCATGGGATGATATTGCTCACATGCAGGGTGGGTTTCTCTCCTCTGTTAAATGTCTCTGGAAACATCCTCAGAAACAGACAATCTTCTAAATCTATCACCACAATATGGCCAATCACTATAGGGACCAAGCCATATCCAAACTATAGCAACATTAAACTCCACAACTCCATAAAAGATTTATGGACATTCTATAGCATCCCCCAGTACTTTCCAAGTTTTTGGTGTGAAGGATTAGTTTGGTTGGACTGTTTATAGAACTTGACATGGCAAAGTATTTTAGAGTTTTGCTCCTAATGCCATGCAGCAGCTCTTCAGACTCTTCTTGCTTTGTTGGACAATCCAGACAATATATCTGAACACATGAACACACCTACACCTTGACTGAGGAATATGCCAGACATGGGTGGTGCACTTTTTAGTGACCTGATGGGCCAGCTTCCCAGTGGATTTGGAAAAGGACAGGGAAGTCAGAGAGATGGCTGGTGTCCTTCCAATGCAGAGTGATGGTCTGATCTCACACTAAGTATCTGGAAGACTACTGCTGCCTTGAGTTTCTGTATGCCGAGGCTCCTCCCTGTAAACTCTGTGAGAGACTGGAGTAAAAACAGAGACTTCTGCTAGAAAATGAGGCCAGAATGGATGGTCAAAGCATAACTGCATTAAAATGAGTTCTTCTTTAATAGAATTTCAAATAGAACTCAGAATTCTGTGTTCATATTATCCAGATTCAGCAGCTTAATGTGACCATAAGAGAGAGGACATAGGAGATGGAGGGCCTAAGGGAGCCTTTGGGATGATTTAGTTGTGGGTGAGGGGAGGAAAAGTGGTCACAGGGAGGGAGATAGGACCGTGTGTAACCCAGAGTGCATCACTGTATAATTAGGAAACAAAACACACCTCCTTCTCATTGGGCACAGCTGGGGGATATACAAGTGAACTGTTTGTAAGCTAAATCTCAACCCCTATTTACCCATTGCTGAGTAAGCTTCCTACATACCCACAAACATCAATCTGGTACTATTTCCTGAAATAAGAAATTCATGTGTAACACAAGTTTTCCAGGAGAAGTTCAACATCTGTAGTTGAACTTTTCTTTGGGCCACCAACCAGCTTCCAGAGACTTGGAGACTTATTATTAATTATGAATGCCAGGCCTTAGCTTAGGCTTGTCCCACTAGCTCTTTTAACTTAATTTAACCTGTTTCTGTTCATCTATGTTTGGCCTCTGGGCTTTTAACCTTTCTTTCATTTTGTATGTCCTACTTTCCTGCTTCCTCTGTGTCTGTCTGTCTGTCTGTCCCTGGTGTCTGTTTTTCTTTCTCCTTTCTTTTCTCCCGAGCCTAAATTCCTCCTCGTATTTATTCTTCCTGCCTGGAATGTTTGCCTATCTCTCCTCCCTTGCTATTGGTCATTCAGCTTTTTACTAGACCAATCAGGTGCCTTAGGCAGGCAAGGTAAGACAGCAACACAGCTTTACATAATTAAACAAATGCAACCCATCTTTACATAGTTAAACAAGTATTTTGCAACAAATATTGGGCAAACTGATTTTAAAATGCCTGTGATACACACTGATGAAAGGGCCTATGATACAGTTGGCATAAAAGTCTGGGGGCTAAGTATATGCATGTGAAAAAGAAAACCCCTGTGAGACATATGGTTTTGGGGTCTAGTTTTAATGACCAGATTAGGACATTGGTCCCAAACAGAGAATGAATTCAAATGACTCTTGAATCCCTAGGGCCTGAGGAAAAGCAGATTCTCTTTGGGAACACTGTCCCACCTCAGGGCACAGGAAACTCTAGAAATGAGACCCATAGAGATGAACTCAAGAAAAAAAAGAAAAACTACAACTGGAACCACCACAAGGAAGGGCTGGTAGCTGAAACTCAAGCCAGATTAGGTGACTCAGACTGTTTTGCAGGGACTGGGGAGATGGCTCCACGGTTAAGGGTGCTTGCTGCTCTTCCAGAAGACAAGAGTACAGTTGTCAGCACCCAAGTCGGGAGGCTCACAACCCCCTGTAACTCCAGCAACTTCTTCTGGCCACATCGGATATCCTCACACGTGTTGCATACACATGCACGCACATATACACATAAATAAAAAATAAATCTTGAAGAATGTTTTGCAATATGGTATTAATTACCATGGCAGGGTGCATGCAATTCATTTTGCAGTAAAGACACTAGGACACCAGTTTGCCCAGTGGTGGCTAATGAGTAAAGGAGAGGAAGGGTCTAGGAATGCCAATCTGGGGGCTGGGGGTGGAGCTAGAGAGCTTGTCTTAAATTGAGTACACTTATTTGGGGGAGATTATGAGGACTATGGGTGGTGACTAATACTCTTCCTAACTATGCCTTGATGCTGCTGTTGACTTTCATCCCTAATTTTAGCCTTTTTCTGTTTAGTTTCTTGGTGTTAAAAGATAGGTGAGGGCTGCTAACATGGTTCAGCAGTAAAAGCACTTACCGAGCAAGCCTAGTGACATGATTTTGATCTCTGGAAGCCACTGTGGAAGGGAAGAACCAACTCCTGGAAATTCTCTTCTGACCTCCACATATATGCTGTGGCTGCAGCATCCCTCCCCGTAATAAATAAAATTGAAAATAGTAAAACAAAACAAAACAAAACAAAAAAACAACAGGTGAGATAGAAACAGATATTTTAGGTATTTTCCTCAGGTAAGTAAATGTCAATTTAGTCAGATCCAGTTCCAGGTGATTACGGTGGCAAAATGGAGAAAGATGTAGCCTAAAATTCCTTTGTAAGTTAGGGAGACCACTAGTGTCTTTCCAGATTTCCTTTTAAGTTAGGGAGACTACTAGTGTCTTACCAAATTTCTGGACTCTCCCCAATTGTGCTTCTTGCATAGGTATTATTTGAAAAAGGGTTTCTGTGTCAGATCAATTTGGAAATTCTTGAAAAAAGCAAAGAAGAGCTGGGGAGATGGCTCAGCAGTTATGAGTGTATACCATTCTTATAGAGGACCTGAGTTTGATTCCCAGCACCTACCTGGTAGCTCACAACCGTCTGTAATTCCAGTTCCAGGGCATCTAATATACATGCATGCAAAACACTCATATGCTTCAAATAAAAAGAATAAATCTAAAAATGAAAAAGAAAAGTATATTATCTTCTAGAGCTGCCATGGCATTAAAAAAAGAAAAGTGGGTTCTGGGCTGGAGAGATGGCCCAGCTGTTACAAGCAATGATTTATCTTTTAGAGGACCCAGGTTTTGGTCCCAGCACCCACATGGTGGCTCACAACAGTATGTAACTTCAATTCTAGGGGATCCAAAGCTATCATCTGGCCTCCTTGGGTACTGCACAAATGTGCACAGACATACATGCAGGCAAAACACCCATACACATTTAAAAAAAAATAAAAATCTTTGAAAAAAAGAAATGGATTCTCTCTTGACTTCAGAGCAAGAGTTGGAAAACAAGTTGTTCACAGGGTTGGGTCCTTCTTGGAGGTTCAGGGGAAGAGTGCATTTCATGACTCTCTTACCTCTAGTGTAGCAGTTCTCAACCTGTGGCTCACAACCCTTTGGGGGTCGAGTGACCCTTTCACAGGGGTTACCTAAGACCATCAGAAAACACGGATATTTACATTATGATTCATAACAGTAGCAAAATTAGTTATAAAGTAGCAATGAAAATAATTTTATGGTTGGGAGTCACAACAGGAGGAACTGTATTTAAAGGGTCGCAGTGTTAGGAGGGTTGAGAACCACTGCTCTAGTGTTTGCTGGCAAAATTAGGTGCTCTTTGTCTTTGAACCATCATCCCCTACAACTGCCTCATTCTCCACATACTGTTTATGTTGTGTATCCAAGTCACTTCTATTTCTATCAAGCAATATCTGAATGTTGTCTTCAACATTTATGGATATTCATTTTATAAGATTATTTTCAGCCTATCAGCTGTTTCCAGCAAATGGTTATCACAATACATGTACAGACATGCATGATTCTTGGGTCAGGAGCATGGAAGAGTAGATATCTCAAGATTACAGCTGTGTGCTGTGGGATGATCCTTCTGTACACAGTGAATGTGTATTGCTGTAATTGGTTAATAATAAAGCTGTTTGGGCTGGTAGCCAGGCAGGACAAAGTTAGGCAGAAAAACCAAACTGTGGGGGGGGGGGGGAATGAAGAAGGGCAGGGTTGGAAGAGTTTCGAGCCAGATGGAGAACGAGTCAGACATACAAAATTAAATGGGATAGAGGTAAAGGCTATGAGCTTCAGGGCAGGACATGGATTAATAGAAATGGGTTAAGTTGTATGAGATAGTAATAAGCCTGAGCTAATGGCTGAACATTTATAATTAATATAAGCCTCTGTGTGGTAATTTGGGAAGTGGCTGCCAGGTATTTGGGAACAGGCAGGACAAAAACCTCAGCCTCCATTTACATATGGCACTCCAATGTGCCGCATGTTCATCCACATAAAGCCTGAGAAAGCTTTAAAAAAAGGGGGGGGGGTTCTAGACATAAAAAAATGGAGCCAAGAGCAGCTTCTTAGTTCATGTCTTTCATGTGGGCCATAGTACAGAGACGTGTCCCCGTCCCCTGGCTGCTCTGTGCAGTGCAGCTTGAACTGCAACATGGCTGATTATCCGTCTCCCACAAGTCGCAGTACAGAGTGCGCAGTGGGTTTAAGGCTTTTGCTCACACAGAAAAAAGGGGTTAAAGATACACAGTAAAGACAGATTTAGACAAAAAGGCCTCTAAATAGGTCACAGTATGTTTGAAAAATATGTGTAGGCCTTGGGAAAGAGAAAAGGTAGAGACAGTCATATGTTTAAAAATAATTTAAAAATAAAGTCCTTAAAAAAGAAATAGAGTAATAACAAAATTATAAGCCATGTAAAGATGGAAATACACAGAGTCTGGATTCTATATTCTAGTGTTTTCTTTAGATTTTTGACTATTAATGGGCAAATGGTAACTACTAAGAGACATTTGTTTGTAAAAGGTACTAAATTAAACCAACCTATATATTTAAAAAAAATCTTGATTCCAAAGTTTAAGTCATAAGCTATGTTACTTTGGGGAAGAGGTTATGTTTTTCTTTCCACAGGAATTGAGAGGCTATGGATTCATTCTGGGTTAAGAAAATTCAGGTTTGATTGAGGAAGACCCCCTGAAATCGTAACTACAAACATGGAAAAATAAACCTAAAGCAACTACAAAACATGTGACGTGTATTTTACCTGTTCAGACATAAAACAAAAAATTATGTTTGACTGGCTTATGTACAATGCAGTTTATATTTGTATTAATACAGAGATGTATGTTACCTTTAAAAGTTTATATATTTTCAGAGCAAGAGGACGAGACACCAATGAATATGATGGCCCAGATGATCCAGCATCCAGAACAGCTTCAAGGCTACTGACTAAGATGATCCAGTCCAGTCTCACAGAATACTCCAGTCAGAACTTAACCATAATCCTAAATTTTCTCAGGGGTCCCTATAAGATTACCAGCACCCCCAATCAGCCAGAAGTAGCCTAAAAAACTACACCTACATACCCCCAAAATGGATTATGGATGTTTGTCTTTGTTTAGGGGGTTTGGTTACAAATTGTTATTGGTCATAGCCAATCTCTTTCTAAAAGAAGAAAGCGGGATATGATACAGAAATGATGGGGAAAAGGGTATATTATTATGATGAAAAAAAAGATGGTATGGATTTTAGTTTATTGATAAAAATTTAAAGTTATTTCTGTTACTGTATGTACATTTTTACTCCTGTTTAAGATATTGTGTTTATACAGCTCAATTAAAAATGTAATGTATAATTAAGAAATACAAATTAATAGTCATCTATAATAGTCAAACTTATAGTCAGGTTAGATATGTTTTCAAGTTATACACAGATATATTTAGATAGATGGTCTTCAAACACTTCAAAGACCTATAGAATATGGCATTTAATATGTTTAATGACCTAAGGCTTTTCATGACAATGAGATATCTGCTCCTGGCAGCACTGGAGTTTACATTCTTTGTGGCAAAAGTTAGCCAGTGGGCAAGAAACTGTCCTTGCCTTGACTGTTGACAGTATGCTGTCCAAATTAGACAAGCAGAACACAAAAGGAGGTGATTGCTGAACTTTGCCAAGACAAAGTAGGACAGTACTTCAAAATTTCTGCTTCACAGATAAGTCTGTCAGATATTCTAGGCCTGCAGGCTGAAGATGGATGCCCCAAAGTTAGAGAGAAACCTTGGGTGACTGTCCAGGCAGCCTAACGTCTGTCATTAGGTAACATTTCATCCTTTTGGGGGTCTTTGATGGAGTTGAAGACTAGATAGTCATAGTTATAATTTTTTTAGTTATGATGAAAGAGTAAGTTAGAGATAAAGTTTTAGACTCACCAAGATAATATAAGATGGTAATTGAATGTTTTCTCTAATTTTGTCAAATAAAAATAGACTGGATATTGTAACTATAATTCTTGCTTGATAACTTTTTTGTTATATGTAATTTTACTATGTTAAAGTTAAAACCTTCCTTTTTGATTAGACAGAAAGGGGGAAATACCATGGGATGATCCTTCTGTACACTAGGAATGTGTTACTCTAATTGGTTAATAATAAAGCTGTTTTGGCCAGGCAGGATAAGGTTAGGCAGAAAAACCAAACTAAGGGGGGATGAAAAAGGGCGGGGTTGAGAGTCTAGATCCAGATGGAGTACAAATCAGACATACAAAATGGGATAGAGGTAAAGGCTATGAGCCTCAGGGCAGTACATGAATTAATAGAAATGGGTTAAGTTGTAAGAGCTAGTTAGTAATAAGCCTTAGCTAATGGCCGAACATTTATAATATAAGCCTCTGTGTGGTAATTTGGGAAGTGGCTGCCGGGTGTTTGGGAACAGGTGGGACAAAAAACTCAGCCTCTGTTTACAGCTATGTATTAGCTTAACCTACAAAAGTTGATCATATGGGCTGGGCATGGTGGTACATGCCTTTAATCCCAGCACTTGGGAGGCAGAGGCAGGAAGATCTCTTTGAGTTGGAGGCCAGCCTGGTCTACATAGTGAGTGCCAGGACACCCAGGGCTACATAGAGACCTAGTCTCAAAAACAACAAACCCATTCCAAACTAAAAACAAACAAAAAAACCAACAAAACATAACAAAAAATCAAAAATTGATCACATGGGAAATCTAAGGCAAGTAAAGTTGGCTTTTACATTGTTCTCTTAAAGGCAGATTAAACAGGCTGAGCACACAGTAGGATAGCAGTCTTAAGTAACCTCAAAGTGTATTATTAACTCTGGCTTTGAGGTCCAGTAAAAGTTCCATTCTCTTAGAATATATTTTTTATATGCACTCCCAGTTTCTCCTTTTTGTTTTATTAAAGAAAAAAAATGTTTATTTAGGTGGGCACTGGTAAAGAACTGGTCAAGGCATGGTGTACTATAGGGACAGTCTGAATCTGTACTACTTCATTTTTCCTTCTGAAAAGTTGGCAAAGGCACGATAAGACTTTGAGAAGGAAGACAAACAGAATGGCTGTACCTGTAAAAGATCATACCCTAAGATTTAGTCCTTGTGTTAGTCAGGGTTCTCTAGAGTCAGAGAGCTTATGGAATGAATCTCACTCTCTCTCTATATATAGGGGACTTATTGGAATGACTAAGAACTTGCAGTCCAGCTACTCCAACAATGGCTAGCTGTGAATACAAAGTCCAAGAATTCAGTAGTTGCTCAGTCCCACAAAGTTGGATGTTTTAGCTGGTCTTCTGCATATGCTGTGATCCCAAAGAAGTAGGCGCCAAAGCCAGTGAAAGAATGGATGGGCTAGCAAGGTGAGGACAAGCAGGCAAAGAGCAAAAGCTTCCTTCTATGTCCTTATATAGACTTCCAGCAGAAGATATGGCTCATATTAAAGGTGTGTCTTCCTACCTCAAGATCTGGATCAGAGGTGTTTTCCTACCTCAAAGGTTTGGATGAGAAGTGGATTCATCCACTTCAAACCAAGCAGAAAATCTCTCACAGGTGTGCCCTCCATTTCTGGATTATAGTTCATTCCAGATATAGTTAAGTTGACAACCAAGAATAGCCATTACAAGTCCATCTCGACACACAAACATATCTCCTTATTCATGATTAATTTCCAAATGAAAACAACAACCAGGTCATAATAAATGCCTAAACATAACTATCCCACATACAATCACAAATGCATTATATATTTAATCAGGTCATAATTACACCTAACTTGATAAAACTGTCCCTCATACAAGCGAAAATACATTATAAATTTAAGAACAGGTGGCAGTGTCCCTTGGGGGACATCCTATTAGTATTCTCTTAATTCATGTTATGATAAAGAAATTGAAAGAAAACACAAATATCTGTACACATGTTCTTAACAAAATACAGCAGAGACACTCATGTCATGTCAACTATAATCTTTTTTTTTTTTTTTTTTTTGCACAATTGGTCACATGGCCTTGGCTGGTATTTATAAATACCTTCCTCTACTACCATTCTGTATTTCCTCCACCCTCGGCAAGCAAGTCTTGGTTCTTTCCTGGAGGAGTGACCCACACCTTCATTTCTGATGTGTCTGTATCCTGTCGTCCTGCCTGTATTAGGCTGTTGTAGTTTCCCACTGACTTTAATCACAGGACATGGTAGCACCAAGAGCTGCCCTAAAGGTCTCCTGCATTCCAGACATAATCTTTCTTATCTCGATTGTGGAGAAGCAATCCACTTCCCCTTTGGTAATCTGGACTAATCATCCCTAACACTGTCATTCCTTTCTTTTTTTTTTTTTTTTTTTTGGTTTTTCGAGACAGGGTTTCTCTGTGTAGCTTTGCGCCTTTCCTGGAACTCACTTGGTAGTCCAGGCTGGCCTCAAACTCACAGAGATCCGCCTGGCTCTGCCTCCCGAGTGCTGGGATTAAAGGCGTGCGCCACCACCGCCCGGCTGTCATTCCTTTCTTAATCTGTTGGTTTAAGGACATCAGAAGGACAAAGTGGCCAGAGGGAAGCTGAGCTTCCAGTTCAATGGAATGTTTGTTGTGATTCCTGGTAGAAGTACTCTCCCCCTTGGAACCAAAACTTCTAGGCCAACATAACTTAAGGTCATGGGGAACAGGAAGCAAAATTTTTCCTAGTGAGTCCCTAGGGGTGATAGTGAGAGAAACAATTCTCTTTTCCACCTCTTGATTCCTCTATCTGTGGATCCTTGCTATGAGAGAAACTGTACCACATATTGGACGCTGAGTCAAAGCATATACCACCTTTTGGAGAACCCTGCCCCAGCCCTCCAGGCTACTGCCACCTAATTGGCCCTGTAACTGTGACTTCAAAAGGCCATTTCATCCATGAAGCTGGCTGCTTCAGGATGGTGGGGAACATGATAAGACCAGTGGATTCCATGATCTTGGGCCCACTGTTGCATTTATCTGGCTGTGAAGTGAGTTCCTTGGTGAAGCAATACTTTGTGGAATACCATGTCGGTGGATCAAGCATTCTCTAAGTCCACGGTGGTGGTTTTGGCAGAAGCACTATGTGTAGGAAAGACAAATCCATAAGTATCTACTCCAGTAAGTACAAAGTGTTGTCCTTCCCACAGAGGAAGTGATTCAATGTTGTCAACCTGCCATCAGGTTGCTGGCTGGTCATCCTGGGGAATGGTACCATATCTGGGGCTCAGTGTTGGTCTCTGCTGTTGGCTGATCTGGTACTCAGCGGAGGCTGTAACTAGGTCAGTCTTGGTGAGTGGAAGTCCATGTTGTTGAGCCCATGCATAATCCCCATCTCTGCCACCATGACCACTTTGTTCATGGGCCCGACAGCAATGGCTGGGGAAAGAGGCTAACAGTCCATAGAATGGGTTGTGCTATCTACTTGATTAATTAACTCCTCCTCCTACCAGGAAGTCACCTTTTGTTGAGCACTTACATGATGATCCATCTGTCTTCTGCACTGGCCAAATAGAGTTAAAAGGAGATATGGTGGGAACTACCACTCCTGCATCTTTCAAGTCCTTGATGGTGGTACTAATTTCTGCAATTCCTCCAGGAATGCGATACTGTTTTTGATTCATTATTCTCTTTGGCAGTTGCATCTAAAGGCTTCACATTTAGCCTTTCTAACCATAATAGCCCTCACTCCACAGGCCAGGGATCCAATGAGAATTCTGCTAACTTCTAAGTATATCTATCCCAATTACACATTCTGGAACTGGGGAAATAATCACTGGATGAGTTTGGGGACCTACTGTGAGTCAGACTTCAGCCAAAACTCCATTAATCACCTGGCCTCCATAAGCCCCTACTTTAACTGGAGGGCCACAGTGTTTTTTGGGATCTTCTGGAATCAGCGGCAATCCAGCATCCAACTGACCCCAGAAAGTCTGATTGTTTCCTTTCCCCCAGTGTACAGTTACCCTTGTAAAAGGCCGCAGGTCCCTCTGGGAAAGGGCTGGAGAAAGACTTAACTGTAAAACTTTTAGGTATCTTATCAGGGTCCTTCCTCAGGGGAACTTGGCCACCCCTTCATTCAAGAGGTTCTGGGTCTGTAAACTGGCTCAAAGTGGAAATTGATTCACTAGCCAAGACTGCCTTTTGTCAAGATCCAATGTAGCCTTTCTTTCACTTGAGAATTTTTCTGCTTATCCAGATCAAACAGAAATACAGTAGGCTTCTTATTGATTGGATGCCTGGAAACACCATGATTGATTAGCCAGTACCAAAGGTCCATGAGTCATGCCAAAATAAAATTTACTTTGCCTGTGCTGACCATTACTGGTTAGTCTATTATGAGACCTGTTTTGTGCCTCAGGTAATTCAGTGCTGCCACCTGTCCCCTGCTATCTGGAGGCTCAATTAAACCCATTGTATTTAATTCATCCAATTGAGCAGCAGCATCTCCAACCCTGAGGTTTGGCACAAGGAGAAGGGCGACAACAAAGCTCTTCAAATGTTCAGGTGCCCCTCTCACTATTTTTCGTCTTATGGGATTAGTGAAGGGCATGTCTTCTGGACCTTCCCATTGAGGAGGATTAGGTTTTACACAGTATACCCACTCCAGCATAGCAATTTCCCTGAGCCTTAAAATTCCTTCATCAACACTAAACCAAAGGATATCGGGCATCTCCAACTCCTTTTCAGTAGGCCATCTTTTGATAAACGCTTCAGCCAACCATTCAAACAAACTTTTGACACCTCTTTTAACTGTGCGAGCGTCCATATTAAACCTAGAATCTCTACTCAGAGGGCCCATCTCAATAAATGCAGCCTGATCTAGTTTTATGTTCCTTCCACCATCATCCCACACCCTTAAAACCCATTCCCACACATATTCTCCAGACTTCTGCTTGAATGAATTCGCAAACTCATTTAGCTCTTTAGTAGTGTAGCACAGCTTCTCATGGACTACACTTTCTATCTCCCCTTGAGGAGCCTGCTTTGCTTTAGGTCCAGTTAAAAGTTGAGAGCCAACTATTGGTGGGCCTTGAGGGACAGCAGTATTGTCTTGCCTGGCATTTTCTTCAGAGAAAGTCACTGCTGGTTTATCAGACAATGAAGGATTAATTTCCTCAATGAAAGGAGAAATAGGTAGTATTTCAAGGGGTGGGGCTGAGGGTACTATTTCGTCTGGTGAGATAAACCCTTGAAAATCTGAGGGTTCAAAGTTCTCAGCTTCAATAGGGTCCTCCCACACATCCCCATCCCAGGTTACAGGATCCCATTCTTTACCAATTAATGCCCTTACTTTAACTGCTGACACTCTCTGAGGCTGAGACTTGAATTTTCGATGTAGTTCAGCCAACCTTATTATGAGGGCTTCAGTTTGATTTTCTACAACTTGAGCTCTGTGGCTGCTGGAGAGAAGATTCTCTACCAAGGTACACTTAGAAACCTTTAAACTGTTTACTTGCATCTGGAGCTGGTCAATTTTATCACTAAGTTTTTTGTTGTCCTTCATCATATTCTGAAGTTGATTAATTTTATCACGGAGCTCATTCCTATCCTTTATTAATTTATCCAGAGATGCTAAGAGCAACCAACCAGCAGCATCATTTTCCTTGTTTTCCCCCAAACTGTCAAAAGTTTCATATACAGAGTCATCAAATCCATTGCCACTTACAATTGGTGAATCAGGATAATCAAACGCATCTAACTCTTTAAGTTTGTAATATAATTCACCACCATGGGCTTTTCAGCATTCTCCAAGCTCCCAGGAGAGAAAGTGACTGTAGCTGAAGGTGCTGGTGAATTGAAAAGCCTATTCCAGATACTTAAAAGATTCATCTTTATATGTCTGTTTCTCTAGAACCACTTCTGGTACCAAAATTTGTATTAGTTAGGGTTCTTTACAGTCAAAGAACTTATGGAATAAATCTCTGTCTCATGGAATGACTTAGAATCTGCAGTCCAGCTACTCCAACAATGGCTAGCTGTGAATGAAAAGTCCAAGAATTCAGCAGTTGCTCAGTTCCACAGGGTTGGATGTTTTCACCTGGTCTTCTGCATATGCTGTAATCCCAAAGAAGTAGGCACCAATGCCAGTGAAAGAATGGATGGGCTAGCAAGGTGAGGAACAAGCAGGCAAATAGCAAAAGCTTCCTTCTTCTATGTCCCTTATATAGGCTTCCAACAGAAGGTATGGACCATATTAAAGGTGTACTTTCCTGCCTCAAGACCCAGATCAAAGGTCTGGACAAGAAGTAGATTCATCCACTTCAAACCAAGTAGAAAAATCTCTCACAGATGTGTCCTCCATTTTTGAATTGTAGTTCATTCCAGATATAGTCAAGTTGACAACTAAGAATAGTCATCACAGTCCTGAAAACCATAGAAGGGTTCAGTCAGTTATCAAACACCATTTTAAAATATTTATTCTGAAAATAGGAATTTACAGTTGCTATAGTTTGGCTGGAAGGAGTTAAAGCCACTGTAGCAGTTGCAGTGGTAACTGTGGCAGCTATAATAACTGCCATAATCATTCCAATGAATCTTTTCATATGTATATGTTCTGGTGCATAACTAAATTATTTTAAAGCAGATCCCCCATGCCACAGGCCAATCATACAGGAATCTAGGCACTGATTGTCTAAGATTTAAAAAAAATCTTAAAATCACCATTTAATTTAAAATCACAATGTAATAAGAGGAAGTTTGGTGAATGGGGTAAGAATTAGAAGTGCATGCCACTTTTCTTATGAGGACACTGATCACTGGCTAAAGAGTTAGGTCCATACCAGTATAATCTCATCTGAACTTGATCTACAGTATTCCAAATGTGAACACATGTACATCCAGGGGTTAGGATGTGAATATATCTATCTGGAGATGTATTTCAACATACAACAGGGAGAAACAGATTTCCTTATCTAACAAGGTCTTATTGGCTTTAATTTGGTAAAGTGGAAGATGGGGAATGCTGGTTTTGTTTGTGTGCTTGTTTTTTTTTGGGGGGGGGGATTGAGACAGGGTTTCTCTGTGTAGCTTTGGAGTCTTTCCTGGAACTTTAACTCTGTAGCCCAGCCTGGCCTTGAACTCAAGACATCCGCCTGTCTCTGCCTCCTGAGTGCTAGGATTAAAGGCATGTACCACCACCACCCGGCTGCTTTTTTTTTTTGTTTTTTGAAGTGAAATCATGAAACATTTATTTATGGAGTTTTCTGTGTGATTTCCTGAGGGACATTTGGGGAAAAGTATCTTGGGTAAGACTCGGAGGCCCAATTCACATAATAAAAGGGGCAGGGTTGGTGCGTCTGACTCTAATTCTCACCACAGACATGGGAGATCTACATCAGTTGCAGAAGAGTGTCTTGTTCTCAAAACACCAATCCTTTGAGACAATTTTCTAGCAGATGACATTATCATGTCTTATGGAAGAGACACTCTTTCCTTGAGTCTAGCACACACCTATTTTTTGTTTTACAGATATTCCTAGACAATTGTCAGCCAATCAGGGTCCTGGACCCTGGAAATCCCCCCAACCCAACCTCTGCTACGATAAAAATCCTGCCCTGAGTGGGCTCAGGGCTCTCTGCTCTCACCACAGCGTAGGACAGAGAGACCAAGCTCGCAGCTTGAAATAAAGGCTCTTTGCTTTTACATACGGGATTCGGTCTCCATAGTGGTCTTTTGGGGGTCCCCAAAATATGGACATAGCATGGACCTTTGGAATATTCTATTTGAAAGCACTCTGGGAGAGGGCTGGTCCAACTGTGGACTTATTAGGACTCTTGCTTACAAATATTGGAAACCTAACTCCAATGGCTAAATCCCAAAGGGGACTATGGAAGCAGCTATGACTTGGGAATGTTCTCAATCCAGGGACCATGTTGAGGCCAGGACCTACTTCTAAGTCTTTTTTTTTTTTTTTTTTTTTTTTTTTTTAAAGACAGGGTTTCTCTGTGTAGCTTTGGAACCTGTCCTGGAACTCTCTCTGTAGACCAGGCTGGCCTCGAACTCACAGAGACCCACTTGCCTCTACCTCCCAAGTGCTAGGATTAAAGGTATGTGCCACTGCCGCTCGGCCCATATGTTCTTAACACTACACTACAACTGCCTCCCTTTGCACAGAAAGCAGTGACATTTTATTGATTTCCCATTTCAAGGAAAAACAACAACAATCGAATCAGAAAATTCGTCATGTCTTCTAGAAGAGGCAAACGGAAGTGCAAACAATCACCGCCACCAACAAAAAAACCAAGAGCTACTATTTCCCTAGCGACCCGGGGTGGCGTCAAATAATTGCTCTGGTCTAAGAGTGAAGAAGTCTGCGCGGGGTAACGGGGAGAGGCGACGGCAGAGCGCTGGACAGCTGACACCTTACCGAGCTTTTGTGGAACCGCAGCTGTGGTCTGAGTTTACGAACAAGGGTGCGTGTGTCCTCAGTTCCACTCTTTCCTCAGGTGAAAACACAGACGACAGGGGCCAGACTCCCGCCACGGACCCAGGTTGCCCCGCAGAGGCCCAGCCGCGAGTGAGGAGCGAAACCCGCGGGCGTGACCACGCACGTTCCTGCGCGTCTCCAGGACATCTTCCCGAGCCCCCTGGGGGCGGCGCTCAAGTTAGCGTGGCCCGTCGGGGGACAGCAGCTAACGCGTGGGGCAGCGGGCACGTCAGCAGGCGGCCCGGCTGGTGGCGCTTCCCGGACGCGAACCGCCGCAGCCCATGGCACGTCCCCCGGGATCCCGTGGAGCCCTCCCGGCCGGGACGCCCAACATGGCGCTCCGGCAAACCACAACGCGGCTGCTTTCGGCTTCACCCCGGGTTGGCGCGCCACACCCCCGACAGTCCCAGTCGCCGCCCCCCTCCCCCCGCGTGACGCCCGGACCAATCCCGGCACGGCGCTCCCAGCCAGGGCCCACCCCGGCCCTCTCGCGAGAGTTTAGTCTTGCTCCCACCTGCCTCGGACCTGCGCGCGACGCCGTCGGGCGCTCCGGCCCCAGCGGTTTGATGATTTTCTGTCAGTCTTAGGATTCCAAACAGGCCGTGTCTTTTCCCTGCGGCCATTGAGATCTCGCGAGATTTACCGGGCTGCCGCCGCCCCCCCTCCCACCCTCCAGCCACGCCTGCGCAGATCTCGTCAAAGCAGAAGGTCGCTCTTGGAGGAAGTGGCCTCTTTGCGCCCCGTGACCGGAGCGCCGTTACTACTTTCCCGAAGCTCCCCTCGGCCGCTGGCCGCGACACTCCGCCGCCAAGATGCCTCGGATTATGATCAAAGGGGGCGTGTGGAGAAATACCGAGGTGAGACAGCTTTTCCCGCCGTCCGCTGCCCTCCGCCGGGTCCGGTAGCGTGTGCGCACGCGCGGGGAGGTCCGGGGAGCCGCGGCTGTCCCGCGGGGTCTCCGTGGGGGGACCCCCGCCGGGCCCGGGTGCGGCCGCGCGTCACCTGCGTCACCTTGTCGCCCCGCGCTCCCCGCCCGGCATCTGCTAGGCCCTCGGACGCTCATTTGTCCAGTGTAGGGACGCGCCCCCTCGCTCTCCCCGGGGGACCCCGTGGCCGCCCAGGCGGGACCTCGGCGGGAGCGTGGTTTTTCTCCAGCCCCTTCCTTTCTTAGCTCGTGCACAGCGCTTCGCCCTGATGGAAGTCGCTGTGGTGGCCGCAACTTTGTTTTTCATTGACTTCCTTTCAGTGGGGCGGGCGGCGGGTTTCACGTCTGCACCTCTCTTGCTTATCTCGTACCGGGGCATCATGGGTCCTCTCTGCAGTTCCCAAGGTCTTTCCTCTTACCTTTCAGTCGCACCGCCCTTGCTGGGATAGAAGCCAGTTAGGACAAACTACGTATTTGCTTCCAGAAGTGTAGTAGATCATGCCACGGGTAAACGGGACGGGAGAAGAAAGGAAGGAAAATAGAAATTACGTTTCCGTGCATTTGATCGAATGCACTGAATGTATGAATAGCTTTAGTCTTGTGCTTTCTTGAGATGCCTTCCTGTTGCTTGGCATCTTTCTGACCGTCCTCCAAACTTAGCTCAGAACACTTCTTGGATTTAGTTATCTAGTGGTTTTGTGGCACCCATCTTCATTTGCTGCAGCTTAATTTGTTTTTGTAGGCGCTTCTGTGTGTGGTTCCAGCTAAGTTTCAACTTCTCAAAGCCTCAGTTTACTCATTTTTATAAAACAAATAGTATTTACCTCTTGGCAGTGAGTTAGTAGTTTGAAACATTAAGAACACAGCTGAGCACATTAGTAGACTTTCAGTAAAACCGGGTTGCTGAGCCAGGCGGTGGTGGTGCACGCCTTTAGTCCCAGCACTCGGGAGGCAGGGGCAGGTGGATCTCTATGAGTTCAAGGCCAGACTGGTCTACAAAGTGAGATCCAGGACAGGCACCAAAGCTACACAGAGAAACCCTGTCTCAGAAAAAAACAAAACAACAACAACAAAAAACCCCGAGTTGCTGTTGTCCTCATCAGACATCACTGCAAAGAGGACCAGGCTTTGGTATTCTAGAACCTAGTATGAAGCAGGTTGCTTGGTGATGTTTGGGAATCCATCTTGTAGGATAGGTACCTGCCATACATTCTTGGTTGAAGATACGTTGAAGTATAGAAAAACTATAAAAGTTTATTCTATTAAAGTTACAAATGAAGGCACTGAAAGGGACTTGCTTGCACTGAGGCTATTTCAATTAGAGAAGAGATGACTTCTGAGGGAGAAGCGGAATCACAAAATCAAGGAGCAGCAGGATTCCTCTGTACTGGTCAGAACCTTGCCCATGTGTGTCTCATGTGGCCCAGAGTGGCTTTGAACTTGTTATGTAGATGAGGATAACTCTGAACTTTTGATCCTCCTGCCTCTACCTCCAGTGCTGGGATTACAGGTGTGTACCACCATGCAAAGTCTTATGGGAATCTAACCCAGGACTTCGTGCATAGTAGGTGAGCATTCTACCAGCTAGTAGTGAGGGAGAATATGGAGTGGAGAGGCTCAAGTCCCAGGCATGCAATTCAAGTTCATTGTGGGAAAAACCTGAAAGTACAGTGCTCAGGTGCATTCATCTGTGGCTCTCTGACCTCTGGTGTCTGAGTTCACTTGGCAGGTTGTCCTGGGATTGGGGCATGCTTTGGGTACTCTGGTGAAATAGAATTGGAGATTGGAGTAGGCAGGGTGAGCTGACTGATGTAGAGGGAGCTGTGGGTTCCTGGACTGTTGTGGTGAGTAGGATGCTGGAGAGGAAATGTCATGTTGTACCAGAGTCTCAGGTTGCTTCTTGAGATCTGGGTAAGTCATCTTTGATTCTCTTTCCTGGAGTACACAGACCTGGTTCAAGGTAGATATTCAGAATTTTTTCTTTTGAGTAGATATACATGCGAACTTTACCTTTGTGAAGAGAATGATAGGTGCATACTGGTGAATAATTTTTGTAAGTCTGTTATAAAGTAGTATTTTCAACATTGACTTTTTTCCACTTCCAGTTTGTTGAGGAGCAGGTAAGATGTCCTTCAGGGGATTTTTTTTCTTTTTTCTTAAAAACAAAAAGATTATTTTCATTTTTAAAATTATGTGTCCGTGTATGGGCATGTTCAGGTGAGTACAGGCGCCCTCAGTAGCTAGAGGCTTTGGATCCCCCTGGAGCTGGAGTTACAGGTAAGCTGCCTGATGTGGGTCCTGGGAATCGAATTCAGGACTTCTGCAAAGAACAGCACATGCTCTTAACCACTGAGCTATCTCTCCAGTCATCTCCTGATTTTTTTTTATACTATTTATCATTAACTGTTAATGAAGTTTTCGTGCCTTTTTTTTTTTTTTTTTTTAAATGATTGTGTGTCTCTCCATAGGAAATCTGTAGGGGTTAATTTAAATTTTGTCTTTCCTCATCTGGAGGCTTGTGACTGAATGCATTCTCTTTGGCAACTCTTTTAGGATGAAATTCTGAAAGCAGCAGTAATGAAATATGGGAAAAACCAGTGGTCTAGGATTGCCTCCTTGCTGCATAGGAAGTCAGCAAAGCAGTGCAAAGCCAGATGGTACGTACCCACCAGTAAGTGGTCCTGATTGTGATGAGTGAAGTGTCTCTTTGAAACCTCCCCCAGAAGAGCAAGAACTGTGATAGAGAGGGAAGTATGAAAAGAGATGGGCTTCCTACGTGCTCTTAAACGAACCATTTTCCCTCCTCTTTACCATGTCTGTTTTCTCACAGTTGAGCGTAATAATACTTAGTACTAACTGATCAGTTGTGATGCCCAATCTAAGTGAGTTTATGTATTTATTTGAGAATGCCTTGAGAGACAAAATACAAAATCTTAGGAGAGATAGCTGACCCTCAGCTCAGAGAATGAGTTGTATTCTGAAAGTTTATGAATTGATTGATTTAGCATTTATTTACTTTCCCAAAGAAGTAATGCTAAACAATGCTTGATTTTTCTAGGCCAGGTCACAGTGGTTGGTTTCCTTGTAATAAGGTGGCAATATTTCATACTTGCTACATGAAAATGCATCAGACACCAACATTCCACCTGTGCTGTCACCTTATTAAGTAACAGGGTAGTGGACACCAGCATGTGTTCTTGGCTTGAATGAACAGGCCCCACTGTAGCCCATGAGGAATGTAGTTTAGATTGTAGGAAGTGACCCCATTCCCAGGCTTCTGGATGCTGGGAATAGTCAGATGCAGAACAGAAGTGGGGTGGTTCTCAGGTTGTAGTAGTTTGATTCCCTATTGTCAGTGGCTTTAAGCTCCAGCCCAGCTTGACCCTAGTAGTGGTGAGGACTTAGGAACTTGGATAGACTCTGACCCAGCTAACCATGTGATAGACGAGGCAGATTGGGGAGACATTAGAAGGGAGACGATGCCATAGTAGTTTTACTTTAAATTTAAAAGTACAGCAGATGAAAGCATACGTTTAGTGGGCTTAAGCCAAATGCTTTACATTCCAAAAAAAAAAAAAAAATCAATGTGCTATTTTTTGGTTTTTCAAGACAGGGGACAGGGTTTCTCTGTAGCCTGGGCTGTCCTGGAACTGACTTTTTTGTTTTTGTTTTTGTTTTTGTTTTTGTTTTTTGAGATAGGGTTTCTCTGTGTAGTTCTGGTGCCTGTCCTAGATCTCACTCTGTAGACCAGGCTGGCCTCGAACTCACAGAGATCCCCCTGGCTCTGCCTCCTAAGTGCTGGAATTAAAGGTGTGACCACCACTGCCCAGGCGAAAGCATGTGATTTAACAGTCAGTACATCTGATATGTAAACTAGAGATTTATTCTGGGTAACTGACTAATGTTTCAAATGTTGTCTCTACTAGGTATGAATGGCTGGACCCAAGTATTAAAAAAACTGAGTGGTCTAGAGAAGAGGAGGAGAAACTCTTGCACTTGGCCAAGCTGATGCCAACGCAGTGGAGGACCATCGCTCCAATCATTGGAAGAACAGCAGCCCAGTGCTTGGAACACTATGAATTCCTCCTGTAAGTGGACCTCCTAGAGCATCGTGAAGAATATGTGTATATGGTACTGTGTTGAACAAACTTACAGCATTTCCAGCTTAATGACGACTGTGATTAAATTGAGGGAAACTAAAGCCGTGGAATCCTGTATTCCAAATGTCACATGGCTGAGTATATTATGTCTTCTGTTACCCCTTAAAAGAATAATTTACCGGGCTGGTGAGATGGCTCAGTGGTTAAGAGCATTGGCTGTTCTTCCGGAGGTCCTGAGTTCAATTCCCAGCACCCACATGGTGGCTCACAACCATCTGTATTGAGATCTGGTGCCCTCTTCTGGCATGCAGACATACATGCTGGCAGGATACTGAATGCTTAATAAATAAATAAATCTTAAAAAATAAAATAAAATAAAACGTATGAAACAAAAACTTTATATATAAACTATAAAATTCCAAAAAAAAAAAAAAAAAAGAATAATTTACCAAATGTGCAAGTCATACTCATCTTAGAAAAGTGAGAGACGGAGTGAGTGCGTGTCACCTGTCACCAGC